CAGAGTCAGGGGAAAACGCTAAGGGGAAAATAAGCAACTGGAAAATGCGTCACACTTGGCGGCATTTTGCATTTCCTCGTTGTGCGATTGCATCATGTGACAATTAACATGCCACAAGTGCAAGTTGCAGCCATGGTCGTGTGGCAGCCACTTACAGTCAAAGAAACTTATGAACATTATCCTTGATTTTGGTTAAAAGAAAAACCCAGAACTTTATTTTAAGTGAGTCTTAAAAGGAGAATTAAATATTGGTTTAAAGTATCTAAAATTTATAAAAACCTTGAAAAGAATAAATTTCAGAAATCATTTTTTAAAAGCTTAGATGTCTAGCCGAGATACAATTTATTACAAAATGGGCTAAAGTTTTATTAGTAATACTAAATAAAAATAGCTAATATATTCCATTTTCTGGAAAATATTTCGTGGCAGACCACTTAAAAAATTCATAAAAATTGCATAAAAGTATTGGTATCTAAAATCAAAGTTAGATCTTAGACTTAGAATACATGCGAGTATGTTTTTGCAAGTGCCGACAGTCGGCTAGAAATCTTATGCTCCTGTTTTATAGGCAAAGCCTGAGCTGGGTTTGAGCATAAATTGGGACCTAACTCGGCTTTTCCAACCAATCAACATTAACGTCATGGGCATAAACTTTTAATAACCGGCAATTAAATGAACTTTCCCCTCCCCCGTTCCATCCTTCGATTCTGAATCCCCCGCAGCGCACCGAGGAGCGTTCCATCCAACTGGCCGTGCGTGTGCACAAGACTCTGGAATTGGCGGACGATAAGTTTTATGTGATTACCTGTGGCAAATCGGGCTTTGCGCGGTAAGTCGGCGAATGCTTAACCTGTCTAGACAATTGCACTTAAGTTCTGTTTCGGCTCCGATTTGTGCTCCGTATGTTCTGTAATTTTTCGGTCAAGCTTCCGTCAGACCCAAGTGCTGGCCAATTTCTAGAGACTCGTCGGCGGCAGCGGCAGCGGCATACAACAAATGATCTCAAATAGCAAATTGTGCTGACCATGGATGGACATCGATTTGGTGGATGCAGGCATGTAGGTGTTGCTCTTAACCCACCATTTGCCATTGTTCGCATTTCTTTCTGCTTCTAGCAGAATTATAACTCAAGGCCATTGAGCTTTGGGCAACAATTCTACGATTCTTTCACTCAATCACCTCTTTTGTCAGAACCAAAAAAAAAATGCGAGAAAATAAGAGAGAATAATTCCCAAAAAGGCAGAATAATCAAACAAATTTATAGTGCTTACTGGGCAGCAGTTCAATTAACGGTAAACGGTCTTGAGGGGCCCGATAATCATCTTGAGGTGAACGAAAAACAATTTAATTTACCTTCTCGCCTCGCGGCTCATTTGCATAATGCCAATGACTTTGCTCGACTGCGACTTACGCAAGTATTTCTCAGTAAAAATCACCACTGGGTTGCTGGTGCTGCTGCTGCTGCCGCTTTAGCTGCTACTGATACAAAAACCTCGGATGGGAAATGAAAATGGCATTAAAAACGGTTTTCCAAAACGTTGCGCTCTGTTAAGCCCGGAAAAAAGCAAAGAAATTGTTAACAGAATTTGTGTGGTAAACGCAAACATAAAAATCGTGCCAGCCGGTGTACAAGGCGAACAACAAATAGTTTTAGACGTGTGTACTACACATATTTGTATCGCTGCCTATCTGGCCCACAAAGGCAACTGTCTATAGCGCAATGACCGGCAATTGCGATTGCATAATTGCAGAACTTGCAATTGCATTTACAATTGCAGCTTCGCCCAAAGCTTTTGGGTCTATTGGCTATGCTTTTAATTAGCCCCTTTGCCATACGGAGTAATTACAGGGCCGTTAGTCCCCCACCTAGTTATATAACCCTTAATAAACATACTCTTCCCACTCCATATTTACCTCAGCGATGACAATGCCCATGTGGTGCTCAAGTTCCTGGAGAATGATCACCGAGTGCGTGAGACGGTCTACGGGCATAAGTACACGATCCGCGCCGAGTTCTCTAAGCCAAACGGTTGGTAGTCTACAGCCCCTGGGCTCCTTTTCAGATTCGGTACTTAATGCTGTGCTCTTATATTGCCTTCCCCAGATACCTACGGCCTGCGTGTGGGCAACTGCTTTGCCTTTGACAAGAAGAACAATACACAGAAGCTAACCGACGACAGCGGGTAAGATTTGTCCCCCCTCTTGTCATAAAATAAAAATTATAAAAATTTCATAAACTTAATGCTAGTTTATATTTTGAAATTGGGTAATAAAATAAGTGGTGTTGGGAAGAAGATTTCAACATTATTTAACTTAGAAACCTCAACTTATTTTCAAAAGTATCTGTTAGATCCAATAAAATATTCTTGTTTTTAAGATTTAATTTAATTTTTTCCACTGTAAGCATATTTCTAACTTGAAATTTATATTTCCCCTAAAGCTGCCCATATGACTCGAAGATCATCAGTCGTTTTGTGCCCACAGCCGATGGACGAGCTGCCGAGGCGGTGCTCACCTCGATGTTTAAGTTCCCCGAGGGTAAGACATGGAATTCTGCACTCCAGGCTAGTAGATTATAACTTTCTCTCCTCTACTTTCAGGATCCGAGGTGCATCTGCAGTGCGATGTGATTCAGTGCTATGGTCGATGTGTGGAGATCGATGACTGCAACGATGTGGCCCTGGCTGGTTTTGGCAAGGGCACAAATGGACCGCGGAAATTTGGTCCAAATGAGGAAGGTTCCAGCTTGGCTGGCACTACGGTCTTTGTGCTCGATCCCGCTGAGGCCAGATGTGAGTTTAGTCGATGAAATGTGTTGGTTTTTTATGATATTTATATGCTTACATCTGGACAGTAATATCGGGCAATTGCGAGGATGGCATCCGACCCAGTTGGCTGCTGTGGCTGACCATCACCCTGGGCGTACTCTTCCTGATCATGCTGCTGATGAACATCTTCTTGTGCACTGCCATGAGCTGCAGTTGTGCTAATACAGAGGTAATAAATCTAACATTGTCGTTGCATAGGAAAAAAGGTTTTCATACAAAATCTTTTTTCTGTGTAGCCTCTTTGAACCCATTGCTCTCAATAAATCTTACCAAATCGAACATTTGCAGATTATCGAAAAGGAGCCATCGATCATCGAGGAGTACGATCCTTACCGCAGTTGGCATGGCAGTCAGTATGGATCCCGTTACTCTCTGCACGGCAGGGATGCCCATAAGGGCTATACCAGCGGTGGTTCCACGATACACTCAAATAGGTCTGATAGATATTAAGATGCCTCCACAAAATCAAACAACAAACAGAAAACACACAAAACACACCTCTATTCTACACTTCAAAATGCATCTGTTCTGCTCTCGCAAATTATTTTCTGGTAGCTGTGGAGCCACAAACACACAAAAACAAAACAAAAGCATGCCAACAAAGTATCTTGTATCTGCGTATCTCTATGTAACGTATATATCTCCTGGACAGCCAACAATTACAACACAACAGATCACAAAAACAGAAATATCCAAAAACCTAGAATGAAAAACCATTTCGTGCCTAGTACTGCAACTGTAATTAACCGATAGTAATTTGCATTTGTCTACCGGTAATAACTAACTATCTCTTTAACTAACTCTCCGCCCTTCATAAAAACAGACAATCGGGATAACTGATAACTAACTGCCAATTTGAAAGAGTTGCTAACTAATCTGTCTTGAAGATTTTCCTTGAATCCCCTATTTTCTGCAATTTGAAATGTATTGTATTAAAACCAAACTTATCCAACGTACTTCGAAGGTCGATGCCAATCGATAACGATAACGATTATGCAATTGTGCATTCGCGTCCAGGCTCTAGACATTCCACGTTACACGGACAGCGCGCCCATCGGGGACCGCCCAGTAATATATGATCAGATCCCAATCAATAAGAACGCGACAATAATGAAAACTAATTCTATAAGCTAGGCTAAGAACTTCCCATCTCTCGAACTTGAGTCTCAAATGTACATAACTAAGTGAAAATTCTCGCCCTGCAAGTTTTCCAAATTTTCTCCAAAAACGATCGAAGAGACGATGCCGCTGTAAAATACTAAACTTAAACATACTAAAGTTCTCTTTGCCTAATTTTAATTCAACCATTTAACATAAGTCATTAGTCTGTCATAAGTGCGAACGAATGTGTATTAGTGAAATGTTTCAACTACTTGTAAAAATAAACAAAGGCAGGCCAACAAAATTAATTTAAAATATAAAAACTACAATATAGTCTAAAATGTTAAGAAGTGAAAATTTGGCAAATGCGTTAAACGTACGACTTGTAATTAATTTAAACGGTAATCATTTAATTTAATAAAAACTAAAAAAGAAGTTTACCTTTCGTTTATATTTGGCTGGGCAATGCAGACAGGGTTCTGTATGGTGTTTTTTTGGCTTAAAAAATGTTTTCCGGTAATTTGTATATGTAAAGTGATAGCTTATAAGGTAGCTGGTTAAAATCATTCCGAATAAATAATTTCAAACATTTCTTTAAGAATTCTTCCATTAGTGTTTCCATGAAACGAATTGCAGCTCATATAGAATGTATGCCTGAAAGTATGCAATACTATTCAAAAATACAGGTAGATATTAGGCTTAAGTGTAACCATGTTCAGTGAGGCACCCACAAATGTGCACGTCTTCAGGCGCAGACTTAAGTTTGCTTAAATTTATATATGATGTTAAAAAAATACTTAATTTTTATTCTTTCTAACAATAGTATATACCATAAATATTAAGAGTAATTATAAATAAGAAATGATTCATCTTTACTCTTTCCGCTTGATGTAACTCGCATCCGGCGCCCACCCCCTTCACAACCGATTCCCGCCCTGTGCTCGGCTTATCTGGCGTTTCGGCTCTCTGGCAACCAGTTTTTCGCTCTTTGTACTCCCGCTCATCGAATTTCGCACTCACTTTCAACACAGCTGTACGCTGAGTGCATGATTTTCGCATGGCTCTGCCGTCTCAGTTTCACGTTGGCGGTCGTTGAGCGCGGAAGTGGCCGAAAATACAATATTTACGTTTAAGGGCATATATATAGCCAGAATCGGAAAATCATAAGAACGCGATTTTTGTTGAATGGCCGCCTCTGTCTTTGTCCATGTATTCGTGTTTGTGTTTGTGTAAGAAGTTTGACGGCAGCGACGACGTAAAATAGTGAAGCATAAAGGCCAAGAAAAGAAATACCCAAAACAACAACGTGTTTGCTGTGCTGCCGTTTGTAGCCCTTAACCTACGTTTTTTTTTTGCTACCTGCCAATTTGTTAACTCTATTGTTGTTGCTGCTTGCGTGCCGTGAATCAAAGCAAAAAAAGCAACAACAACTACAACATGCACAAATAAATGTAAGTGTAAGTGACCATGGAGCGATTTAATAACAGTGCACCGCCAGGAATAACAACTAAAATCCATTTCAAACGCGTGACGAGCGAATTTAAAATCGATTGCAAGTCCCGAAAATTGGTCAACTTTAAAAAGTAACAACAACTAAAATCCACAATGCGCTTACACATATACTGTAGATATGATATATGTAATGTTCTGAGTGACTCATCTGATTTTGTTTTGCAATTGCAATCTCTACGCAAATTACTAGGGCGACCAAAAAGAAGCTTTTAATAATCATAGCCAAAAATAACACAAAAACCAAGCGGAACAAATCATAAATCAAAATGTGAATATATAATAAATCAAATAATTCAAAAATATTAAACTTAAAAATGTAATCTAATCTACGATTTAAGAAAATGAGTTGCAAAATTATGATTTAAATTGTCGGGTATAAATATTATTTGAGTCTTTTATCTACGCATTCAGAGATTAATTAAAAACTACTAAATTTTAAAGGTTTATTTTATATATCATAAAATACTAATTTTTAAACGTTCTTCAATATGCTTAAATTCGGTGTAATGTAGTATCACCTACTTCCCATTGTCGCACACCTAATTTTCTATTTCTTCCTACACAAAATGCTTGTAATGCCAAGAATTTTAATAAAATGCAATGTGCTCTCAGTTGAGAATAATTTAAATTTAGCCACGCGCCTTTCTGGCCCACTGACAACTCTTGAAAGTCGCCAGACAAATGTTCGGCAAAAAAGTCATTAACCTCGGTGATTTGAATTCGAATGTTGTCGTCAAGTTTGAATCAGTGTAACGAATATTAAATATGGAATTTTATGCCAATGGAAAAGATAATGATGATAAATCAGTAAATATCGCCAATATCTCTAACTTTATAGGTCAACAATGTTGGCGTTGAAAGTCGGATGTGCAAATATTGCGTCCCTTAAACGAAGTGCATTATATAAAAGCACGAGAAGAGGTCAGTTCTCGGGAAGACAACGCATCGATATGTTTGCTTAATAAGCAATGTGCGACAAAGAAATCAGAAAGAAATGACACAGGATTGTTTATCACTTTAAGTGTCACTTTGGGTTGATGAAATAACGGTAAGGGTTCGGCGTGGAGCCTACCCTGTACTAAAAGAAACTCAAAATTCAGATACACAAAAAAAGCAATAAATAATGATCCGCCTTTGTTGCCTTTGGCAAGAGCAGATTTATTTACTGCGATCCATTTGTACAGCAGCGGTCAGGATGTTAGTGAAGTTACTCTGCTTTTACAAAACAAATTGAAATGATGATGAACAAGATCTGCTAAAAAAGGCGCTTACATAAAGCATCCCCTATTTATTTATCCAACATATATACATATATATACTTTTGTCTGCCTCTGTTTACTTCTCATACATATACGATGAATTAGCTTATTTGTTTTATACCTACTATATATCCAGTTGAAAGTCTCGTTCTTATCGCTTTTTGTCTTTGTTTACTCAGAATTAAAAACGCTCTTAGGCATTCTCTATTTCTGTCCTTAGTGATTACAAGAGACTAATAAATCATTGAGCTTGGAAACAAATTATATTTAAATTATAGTTTATCTTAAACATAACGTTGTAAGCTCTTTAAACCGATGAGTTACCTTGACTGTCTGGTCAAACCCAAATTAATAATCAGTGAACTACGTCACTTTTCACCATACCAGGAACTAAATTAAAACGATTATACACTGAAAAATATCAGCAGTATTAAACTAATTTCCCAAAGAATCTTAAAATATTTGAATAGTTTACATTAGTATTAGGTAATATACTTAGTAATTCATTTTGATATCTAAACATACTATAATATTTTTTTCTGTGTATAAATAACGATCATTTTTGAGCTCAACATACCTAGCGAACCCCTACAAAATGAAAACACCGATAAATGATGTCATGTTCTCCCCAACAGAAAGGCCGGGATCGTTTGGCACATAGTCGGATCGCTCTTGGTAATATAATTTGAGCTCGGAGCCAAATTCGTGGTGTGATTTTGGATCATTAGCTCACCGGTTCGCAGAATTACTCAAATCATTTTGTTGTCTCTCTTTTGGGACGGAAATTCACTGGAGTACCGAACTCTATATGAGGAAAATCTCAACTCAATGAGCTCATCTCGGTAGAATTACATAATGTACTTTCCCTATTTATTCCCCGAAATATACAATAGTCACTAAATGCATTCGAAGTTTAACTTTGAGCTTGTGTGTAATGTTAATTGATATCTAATCGTTGGAGGCTGACCCCGAGTGTCACCTCTCGGAATCAAATGGAGACCGCCCAAACGCTCAAATGTTGACTTTGACATCGCCCACACGCAATGGTTGAACATTTTCTCTACTCAGAGCGGTTTTTTAGATACATATAAATAGTATATACAAATATCTGAACATGCATCGGGGCTTTTTGTGGCATCGGCTATATAAATTGCTGCAATTAATATAATCAGTACGGAGCTGTTGCATTTCTGTTAAATGTTAAATGCATTTCAATTGTTTTCCGCGCTGCAGGTCTCCTTCAGAAGTCTGGTCGCATGTTTAATTGTGAAAAAATATCGATTTTAGAATTTCAAATTGCATTATTGTACTTGTTGTAAAGGCCCTGTCAGCGATTCCGCGTACTGTTATGAGTAATTGCCCCCACTTTCTTTGTTGTTATATAACCCTGTGCTCTATAAAAAACCACTTCTATCTTAATTTCTTCCAGGTAAAGAGTGGGACTTTCATTTTCGTCAAACAGCGATGTTGAGCAGCGATAAGAACAGTCGAAACAACAATCTTGGCTATTAAAGAGCTCTACAAACAAACTAAATTGGAGCTGGAATCTAAAACAAAAAACAGGAGAGAAAAATGACAATTACGTACACAGGTGAAGTGGCCACTTGTCGCGGCTTTGGCTGTTTTCTTAAATTGCTATTCAGGTGAGTAAAGTCAAAGTCTTATATACTTCACACTACGTACACTTCGATGGACAGATGTAGAAGTACAGTGCGAAATTGTTAGCTTGTTTGCTAATTATAGACCATTGACACACTTCGTACAATTGGATGGGATAACCAGTTGAGAAATACAATTGCAGCGAAGGCGAAATTACAGAACTTTTCCACTTTCCTTCATATGGCAAAACTGCAATTGCCTCGAAAGTCCCTTCCCTTTTCACTCCCTTCTCTCCGTAAAGGAAATACTTGTAATCTAGACCAGTGTTGTCATAACTCTGACATCTGTCATGGCTTGTTGTCTGAATTATAATTTAATAATGTGGAGCCATGCGGGGGTTGAGTTCTTCCCCTACGCATTTTCCCCATTCCCTGATAATCAGCTTGATTGTAATATAATCTATGGGTCTGCCAGTTAAATAGTTTGATGATCTAATTAAGCTGCTGTTGGTATCGGTTAATGATGGCCAATAACGATACCCCTGCGGTCAATGGGAATCTCCCATCATGATTCACTAGTTTTTCTCCATAAAATGCTAGTTTTAAAATTCTCAAAAAGTAACCGTGGAATATGGCTTTTGTTTTGGATTGTAAGATATCGTTTGATTGTTCATTATATCACGCATTATTCGGCTGATAAGCTTTATAAATATCGCCGTCTGAACGTCATGTCAAGTCAGGCGGCTCACATTTTTGCGGGCAATGTTTATATTTCGAGCGCTACAAGTATATTATTTTTATGACGTTTTGTGTCAACAACAAGTGGCCAAAATTATCGACTCATATCAGCGGGTTAAATTTGCCGTGACGTTTCATCCTCAGACACAATGCCGCTGGTCAATATAGGCAAATTTGAAAGTCAAGTGGGGGAATCTGGAACGAAGCTATGGTTGAAATTGTTATTGCCTGATAAGGGCCAAGTATGCTGATTATATTGACGTGTTCGGTCTAATTATATAGGCTGATGTCGAAGAATTCAAGTGTATAATAATTGTTAATTGTGAAGGTTTTACTAATATACTTACCGGTTTTCAGATGGCGTGGAAGCATTTACAAGTTGGTCTGGCTAGATCTTTTGGCCTTTTTGACCATTTACTATGCCATCAATATGGTGTATCGTTTTGGCCTCAACCCTACCCAAAAGGAGTGAGTATTGGAAAAATATAATAGAAGATCTAAAGAGAAAATAACCTATCATACATAGTACTTGATTATTGTAAATATTAGTTTAAGAATAATAAAACCTTTCCAAGCAATAAAGTTTTAAAAAACCCTATTTTCTGTTGCTATACAGCTGGTGTAGATAAGCTTATATACAAATCTTAGCAGTTTAAATATTAAGGTTAAATAATAAAATACCTTTTACGTAGCTAAAGCAAATAAGAGATAAAAGCATACACTTTGCAAAATATTTATGTCTCATTTTAGTTTCTAATTGCTTGTTAAAAGATCCACAAAATCGTGATAATAAAGTTAGTTAGTATATAAACTTCGTATATAGGTTTATTTCTCCACTGATCTTACAATATTTGTTATTTATCTTACTAATAATACATTTCCTTTTAGAACCTTCGAAGCCATTGTCCAGTACTGTGATAGTTATAGAGAACTTATACCCTTGTCTTTTGTCCTGGGTTTCTATGTATCGATTGTGATGACCCGTTGGTGGAACCAGTACACCTCCATACCCTGGCCAGATCCCATTGCCGTTTTCGTCAGCTCGAATGTTCATGGCCAGGATGAACGAGGTCGTATGATGAGACGTACAATTATGCGTTATGTGTGCCTGTGTCTAACCATGGTCCTGGCGAATGTGTCACCGAGGGTGAAGAAACGCTTTCCGGGCCTGAATAATCTGGTTGAAGCGGGTCTCCTTAATGACAATGAAAAGACTATCATTGAGACCATGAACAAGGCCTTTCCCAGACCCTCAAAGCATTGGTTGCCCATCGTTTGGGCTGCTAGTATTATAACTAGAGCTAGAAAGGAAGGTCGCATTCGTGATGACTTTGCGGTGAAGACCATCATCGATGAGCTGAACAAGTTCCGGGGTCAATGTGGACTCCTCATCAGTTATGATACCATCAGTGTGCCTTTAGTTTATACCCAAGTGGTGACCTTGGCAGTTTACTCATACTTTCTTACCTGCTGCATGGGTCAGCAATGGACAGATGGCAAGGTGGTGGGCAATACCACATACTTGAACAAGGTGGATCTATACTTTCCAGTATTTACAACGCTGCAGTTCTTCTTCTACATGGGTTGGCTCAAGGTGGCCGAGTCTCTCATTAATCCATTTGGAGAGGATGATGATGACTTTGAGGTATGTGATAAAATTATTTTGCTTTTCTATAAATTTTTATCAAATGTTTTACCCTAGGTCAACTGGATGGTGGATCGAAATTTACAGGTGTCCTATCTGATCGTCGACGAGATGCACCATGATCATCCGGAGCTGCTGAAGGATCAATACTGGGACGAGGTTTTCCCCAACGAGTTGCCCTACACAATAGCTGCTGAGAGATTCAGGGAGAATCATCCAGAACCGTCCACTGCCAAGATCGAGGTGCCCAAGAATGCGGCCATGCCTTCGACAATGTCGTCCGTTCGGATTGATGAAATGGTTGGTAATGCTAATGGTGACCCCGTCGCCGCTGCCGCCGCGGATGCAAAGATCCCGGGTCCGGGTCAAGTTCAAGGTCCGGTTGCGGACTCTGGGGTCCAATCCGTTACCTATGACTTTCCCAAGGGCTCGGCAGATGAGGAGGTTAGAATCAAAACGTTGGCTGCATTCCCTAGCTTTACAAAGCATCGGCACCTAACAACCAATTGGTTAACCAAAAAATTCATCATCTCGTCCTGCGACCTGATCCAAGTCAAAACTAAATCCAAATCAATATCGAAATTACAAGTTTCTAACCTCTTTTTCTTGTTCAACACGAAGAAACATTGCTTTTGTGGGATCACAGTTCGCTCATTGGCATTCTGAAACACAACGGTGCTTGGTATATATAAAACCTAATCTAGATGTACAGATTTTGTAAAACTCTAAGGAGCAGGCACAGTATAAAGCTCAAGTATTATTTTTGTAGTTATATGATTAAAATTATCTTTAGTGACTCTATTTATTGTTGTTCCTAAATATCATGTTCATTATTATATATTTTTTATACATTTTATAAGTTCATTCATTAGCTTCCTATACTTTCATATATTTTGTACAATTCGCATTAATATTTTTCTATTTAATATGTCTTTATTTTTATTACTTCTTATTTATTACTATTTGATTTTCTTTGAGTTTAATTTACTGTGCCTATCTCCAGTCTAACCATTAGTTAAGAAAGGTGTTTGTGTCTCTACTACGCTTTAAGAATGTGAATACTAACTTTTGATTCTAATTGTCTAAAAGATCTGTCTACAGCCTAAAGCCTCTAACAGCACTTCGCACTGCACGAATTTCAAATGCTTTCTGCTGCACTCAACTTAGAGCACTCAATGGTTTCAAGTAATCCGGCCACAGCGGAAATAATCTATCCACTAATTATTAAAAATAATCTAATATAGCTTTTATTTTCCTTAAACCAGGCTGATGATGCCAGTGGCATACACTTCTCAGCTGGCAATGGCAAAATGCGCCTTGGTTCCTCGCCTTCGCTTGTGAGTGTTTCGGGTACTTTGTCCCGGGTGAACACGGTGGCCTCGGCCCTTAAACGTTTCTTGAGTCGCGATGATAGCAGGCCGGGATCGGCCACGCCCAGTCAGGATCAGCCGTACAAGTTCCCAGCCAGCGCGAGTTCGGCAAGTCTTTCGGGTGGAGTTGTTGGCTCGGCCACTTCGGCAGGAAAACCAGTAGGCAGTCTAAGGATTACTCAGCAAGTTATCGAGGAGGTCGATGAACAGGCCACCATAACATCCATGAGAGCAAATGAACCGCGTCCCAATGTCATGGATATCTTTGCACCAGCTTCAACTTCTGGAGCTGGAGTTTCGTTACCTCTTCAGCCACCACCGGCTCACTCGGAACCTGTGGACATACCAGCTCGTCCACCCTCATACAATCGTGCACAGTCCCAGTATGAACCCACTCTATTCCCACCTGGCGGAGTGGATGCGCTGCTTAGTACTTCAGCGCCAGCTGGAGGCAGTCCCTTGCTGTTGTCCAATGCAGCCACTGCACCCAGTTCGCCGGTGGGCGAAAGCTCAAAGTCCTTATACGATCCCCACAAGGCAGCTAGCCGGGAGACAGGTGAGTTAGAAATTCTTTTCCATCCCAGTCAGCGGATGTGTTAGAATGCCCAACCGCTTCTTAAACTCATTTTTAACATTTGTATATCTTCATTTTCAACAAATTCGGGAATTTTTAAAGAGAGGCCCGATGCACCGCAGGTTTTCTAAGTCAAAGACTGTTTTGTGCAGCTTTCGACCGCAACTTTCATCCCATAAACTTTTGTAGTCGAATTTGAAAAATGAAATTTTGGCCAAATTTTTGCTTTTTTGACAGGTCGGGGGTCATCAATTTTTTTAAAAAGGGCCAAACAACAAATTGCTAAGTTTTCTTGGTTTTTATGCCATAATTCAGCCAAAACAAGTCCTAGAGCTAAGTCAAAGACTGTTTTGTGCAGCTTTCGACCGCAACTTTCATCCCATAAACTTTTGTAGTCGAATTTGAAAAATGAATTTTTAGCCAAATTTTTGCTTTTTTGACAGGTCGGGGGTCATCAATTTTTTTAAAAAAGGCCAAACAGCAAATTGCTAAGTTTTCTTGGTTTTTATGCCATAATTCAGCCAAAACAAGTCCTAGAGCTAAGTCAAAGACTGTTTTGTGCAGCTTTCGACCGCAACTTTCATCCCATAAACTTTTGTAGTCGAATTTGAAAAATGAAATTTTGGCCAAATTTTTGCTTTTTCGACAGGTCTGGGGTCATCAATTTTTTCAAAATGGGCCAAACAACAAATTGCTAAGTTTTCTTGGTTTTTATGCCATAATTCAGCCGAAACAAGTCCTAGAGCTAAGTCAAAGACTGTTTTGTGCAGCTTTCGACCGCAACTTTCATCCCATAAACTTTTGTAGTCGAATTTGAAAAATGAAATTTTGGCCAAATTTTTGCTTTTTTCACAGGTCGGGGGTCATCAATTTTTTTAAAAAAGGCCAAACAGCAAATTGCTAAGTTTTCTTGGTTTTTATGCCATATTTCAGCCAAAAAACAAGTCCTAGAGCTAAGTCAAAGACTGTTTTGTGCAGCTTTCGATCGCAACTTTCATCCCATAAACTTTTGTAGTCGAATTTGAAAAATGAATTTTTAGCCAAATTTTTGCTTTTTTGACAGGTCGGGGGTCATCAATTTTTTCAAAATGGGCCAAACAACAAATTGCTAAGTTTTCTTGGTTTTTATGCCATAATTCAGCCAAAACAAGTCCTAGAGCTAAGTCAAAGACTGTTTTGTGCAGCTTTCGACCGCAACTTTCATCCCATAAACTTTTGTAGTCGAATTTGAAAAATGAAATTTTGGCCAAATTTTTGCTTTTTTCACAGGTCGGGGGTCATCAATTTTTTTAAAAAAGGCCAAACAGCAAATTGCTAAGTTTTCTTGGTTTTTATGCCATATTTCAGCCAAAAAACAAGTCCTAGAGCTAAGTCAAAGACTGTTTTGTGCAGCTTTCGATCGCAACTTTCATCCCATAAACTTTTGTAGTCGAATTTGAAAAATGAATTTTTAGCCAAATTTTTGCTTTTTTGACAGGTCGGGGGTCATCAATTTTTTTAAAAAAAATATCAAATTTTAATAAGGGACAAACAACAAATTGCTAAGTTTTCTTGGTTTTTATGCCATAATTCAGCCAAAAAACAAGTCCTAGAGCTAAGTCAAAGACTGTTTTGTGCAGCTTTCGACCGCAACTTTCATCCCATAAACTTTTGTAGTCGAATTTGAAAAATGAAATTTTGGCCAAATTTTTGCTTTTTTGACAGGTCGGGGGTCATCAATTTTTTTAAAAAAGGCCAAACAGCAAATTGCTAAGTTTTCTTGGTTTTTATGCCATAATTCAGCCAAAAAACAAGTCCTAGAGCTAAGTCAAAGACTGTTTTGTGCAGCTTTCGATCGCAACTTTCATCCCATAAACTTTTGTAGTCGAATTTGAAAAATGAAATTTTGGCCAAATTTTTGCTTTTTTGACAGGTCTGGGGTCATCAATTTTTTAAAAAAATTTTAAAAAGGCCAAACAGCAAATTGCTAAGTTTTCTTGGTTTTTATGCCATATTTCAGCCAAAAAACAAGTCCTAGAGCTAAGTCAAAGACTGTTTTGTGCAGCTTTCGATCGCAACTTTCATCCCATAAACTTTTGTAGTCGAATTTGAAAAATGAATTTTTAGCCAAATTTTTGCTTTTTTGACAGGTCGGGGGTCATCAATTTTTTTAAAAAAGGCCAAACATCAAATTGCTAAGTTTTCTTGGTTTTTATGCCATATTTCAGCCAAAAAACAAGTCCTAGAGCTAAGTCAAAGACTGTTTTGTGCAGCTTTCGATCGCAACTTTCATCCCATAAACTTTTGTAGTCGAATTTGAAAAATGAAATTTTGGCCAAATTTTTGCTTTTTTGACAGGTCGGGGGTCATCAATTTTTTTAAAAAAGGCCAAACAACAAATTGCTAAGTTTTCTTGGTTTTTATGCCATAATTCAGCCAAAACAAGTCCTAGAGCTAAGTCAAAGACTGTTTTGTGCAGCTTTCGACCGCAACTTTCATCCCATAAACTTTTGTAGTCGAATTTGAAAAATGAAATTTTGGCCAAATTTTTGCTTTTTTACAGGTCGGGGGTCATCAATTTTTTTAAAAAAGGCCAAACAGCAAATTGCTAAGTTTTCTTGGTTTTTATGCCATAATTCAGCCAAAAAACAAGTCCTAGAGCTAAGTCAAAGACTGTTTTGTGCAGCTTTCGATCGCAACTTTCATCCCATAAACTTTTGTAGTCGAATTTGAAAAATGAATTTTTGGCCAAATTTTTGCTTTTTTGACAGGTCGGGGGTCATCAATTTTTTCAAAATGGGCCAAACAACAAATTGCTAAGTTTTCTTGGTTTTTATGCCATAATTCAGCCAAAAACAAGTCCTAGAGCTAAGTCAAAGACTGTTTTGTGCAGCTTTCGACCGCAACTTTCATCCCATAAACTTTTGTAGTCGAATTTGAAAAATGAAATTTTGGCCAAATTTTTGCTTTTTTCACAGGTCGGGGGTCATCAATTTTTTTAAAAAAGGCCAAACAGCAAATTGCTAAGTTTTCTTGGTTTTTATGCCATAATTCAGCCAAAAAACAAGTCCTAGAGCTAAGTCAAAGACTGTTTTGTGCAGCTTTCGATCGCAACTTTCATCCCATAAACTTTTGTAGTCGAATTTGAAAAATGAATTTTTGGCCAAATTTTTGCTTTTTTGACAGGTCGGGGGTCATCAATTTTTTAAAAAATGGGCCAAACAACAAATTGCTAAGTTTTCTTGGTTTTTATGCCATAATTCAGCCAAAAACAAGTCCTAGAGCTAAGTCAAAGACTGTTTTGTGCAGCTTTCGACCGCAACTTTCATCCCATAAACTTTTGTAGTCGAATTTGAAAAATGAAATTTTGGCCAAATTTTTGCTTTTTTCACAGGTCGGGGGTCATCAATTTTTTTAAAATGGGCCAAACAGCAAATTGCTAAGTTTTCTTGGTTTTTATGCCATATTTCAGCCAAAAAACAAGTCCTAGAGCTAAGTCAAAGACTGTTTTGTGCAGCTTTCGATCGCAACTTTCATCCCATAAACTTTTGTAGTCGAATTTGAAAAATGAATTTTTAGCCAAATTTTTGCTTTTTTGACAGGTCGGGGGTCATCAATTTTTTTAAAATGGGCCAAACAACAAATTGCTAAGTTTTCTTGGTTTTTATGCCATAATTCAGCCAAAACAAGTCCTAGAGCTAAGTCAAAGACTGTTTTGTGCAGCTTTCGACCGCAACTTTCATCCCATAAACTTTTGTAGTCGAATTTGAAAAATGAAATTTTGGCCAAATTTTTGCTTTTTTGACAGGTTTGTTCGAAAAGGCCAAACAGCAAATTGCTAAGTTTTCTTGGTTTTTATGCCATAATTCAGCCAAAACAAGTCCTAGAGCTAAGTCAAAGACTGTTTTGTGCAGCTTTCGACCGCAACTTTCATCCCATAAACTTTTGTAGTCGAATTTGAAAAATGAAATTTTGGCCAAATTTTTGCTTTTTTCACAGGTCGGGGGTCATCAATTTTTTTAAAAAAGGCCAAACAGCAAATTGCTAAGTTTTCTTGGTTTTTATGCCATAATTCAGCCAAAAAACAAGTCCTAGAGCTAAGTCAAAGACTGTTTTGTGCAGCTTTCGATCGCAACTTTCATCCCATAAACTTTTGTAGTCGAGTTTGAAAAATTAATTTCTGGCCAAATTTTTGCTTTTTTGACAGGTCGGGGGTCATCAATTTTTTCAAAATGGGCCAAACAACAAATTGCTAAGTTTTCTTGGTTTTTATGCCATAATTCAGCCAAAACAAGTCCTAGAGCTAAGTCAAAGACTGTTTTGTGCAGCTTTCGACCGCAACTTTCATCCCATAAACTTTTGTAGTCGAATTTGAAAAATGAAATTTTGGCCAAATTTTTGCTTTTTTGACAGGTCGGGGGTCATCAATTTTTTTAAAAAAGGCCAAACAGCAAATTGCTAAGTTTTCTTGGTTTTTATGCCATATTTCAGCCAAAAAACAAGTCCTAGAGCTAAGTCAAAGACTGTTTTGTGCAGCTTTCGATCGCAACTTTCATCCCATAAACTTTTGTAGTCGAATTTGAAAAATGAATTTTTAGCCAAATTTTTGCTTTTTTGACAGGTCGGGGGTCATCAATTTTTTCAAAATGGGCCAAACAACAAATTGCTAAGTTTTCTTGGTTTTTATGCCATAATTCAGCCAAAACAAGTCCTAGAGCTAAGTCAAAGACTGTTTTGTGCAGCTTTCGACCGCAACTTTCATCCCATAAACTTTTGTAGTCGAATTTGAAAAATGAAATTTTGGCCAAATTTTTGCTTTTTTGACAGGTCGGGGGTCATCAATTTTTTTCAAAAAAGGCCAAACAGCAAATTGCTAAGTTTTCTTGGTTTTTATGCCATAATTCAGCCAAAAAACAAGTCCTAGAGCTAAGTCAAAGACTGTTTTGTGCAGCTTTCGACCGCAACTTTCATCCCATAAACTTTTGTAGTCGAATTTGAAAAATGAAATTTTGGCCAAATTTTTGCTTTTTTCACAGGTCGGGGGTCATCAATTTTTTTAAAAAAGGCCAAACAGCAAATTGCTAAGTTTTCTTGGTTTTTATGCCATAATTCAGCCAAAAAACAAGTCCTAGAGCTAAGTCAAAGACTGTTTTGTGCAGCTTTCGATCGCAACTTTCATCCCATAAACTTTTGTAGTCGAGTTTGAAAAATTAATTTCTGGCCAAATTTTTGCTTTTTTGACAGGTCGGGGGTCATCAATTTTTTCAAATTGGGCCAAACAGCAAATTGCTAAGTTTTCTTGGTTTTTATGCCATATTTCAGCCAAAAAACAAGTCCTAGAGCTAAGTCAAAGACTGTTTTGTGCAGCTTTCGACCGCAACTTTCATCCCATAAACTTTTGTAGTCGAATTTGAAAAATGAAATTTTGGCCAAATTTTTGCTTTTTTGACAGGTCGGGGGTCATCAATTTTTTAAAAAAGGCCAAACAGCAAATTGCTAAGTTTTCTTGGTTTTTATGCCATATTTCAGCCAAAAAACAAGTCCTAGAGCTAAGTCAAAGACTGTTTTGTGCAGCTTTCGATCGCAACTTTCATCCCATAAACTTTTGTAGTCGAATTTGAAAAATGAATTTTTAGCCAAATTTTTGCTTTTTTGACAGGTCGGGGGTCATCAATTTTTTTAAAAAAGGGCCAAACACTTCTTCAGCTTCTGACTCAATAGTATTATCCAGATCATCTAAGAAAGAGATTTGATTTATTTCTAGGCAGGACATATGACTAATTTGGTTAAACCCACCTGCTTCCAATACCACCGCTGGCTTGGTATCCGACTGGTCCTCATCAGCTGCCCGACTAACTGGTAGACCCACCTCTATCTTGGGGCGTTTCCTACTGGGTCCCGGCAGATCGTAAGCTGCCCTGGTTCCCCTGACCTTGGGAGCAACAGGACCTTCTTCTACAATAACCGGCTGCTGTTTCAGTTCCTCCAATGTATTTGGTTTTGTATCTGCACTTGTTGCGGGAGAATCATCCGTCAATCCGCCAATGCCATCTGTCAGGGTTTTGAGAATTTCATAGTTGATCTTACTGGAGATCTTCTTTTCTTGCAGCATCTTTTCTATGGCTTCGCCGGCAGTGGATGAGGGTCCAATGACCTTCTTGCGTGGCTTTCGCTTCTTTCTCTCCGGCTTCCCCTCCTCACGCTCCTTGGCCAGCCGCTCATCCCGCTCCTTCTGCTCCTGCAAATACTCGGCATTGAGGTTCTTCCACATTTCCAACTTGGCCAACGCCTCTTCCTCGGTCAGCACATACTGATCCAGCTCGTCATCATTCAAATCGTCAGTAATGAGTTCTTGTTCCTGCGGCTGTTTAGCCTTCTCTACATCCTCCAGATCACTCTCTGTCACCCTACAAATAGCTTCGATATCCGGTCGTAGGCCTTCTATACCTGATACCAAACCACCTGGTTCGACCTTCTTTACGTCTTCGTTTTTGGCTATCAACTCTTTGATGACCTGTGCATTGGATTCTTCAATAAACTGCCGAGACTCCTCCAGTTCGATTTCATTTTCCGAGGCACTCTTGGGTGTACTTGGCGAACTAAGTGGAGTGATACCCTTTCCTTTGGTCAGCTGACGGTAAACGGAGTTTGAGTACTTGCCCAGGTCTTTCTCCAGATGAGCATCAATTTCCTTTTGTAGATCCGTGAGCTCATGCTCACCCATCTAAAGAGATAGAAACTTTAAATTAAAAGCAAGACACTTAAAAGATATTAACTCACATCTTTGATCCTCTCACGATCCTTTTTCCGTGCTGCCTTAAAAGAAGGTGGATCTTGTTCGCGTTCCAGGTCAACGGTCATAAACTCCTCCAGAGTCAATCCTCCTGAGGGCGTTTCGGCAAACTCCGAAAGGCGCTTTCGGAGCGTTGACTCGTGGATCTTGACCACACCTATCACATCAAGCATGGTGCGACTAAAGTCGTGCATACGAGCCGCAATGAGCAGAGCTGAAGGTCGTTTGGTAATCTCCTTTAGCACTGACTATTCATTTTGATTGTACGGTTCACTCACCTGCTCCACAGAGGCCAGTGGGTCGTCGTCCCGAGTGCATGCAATCCTTTTTCATGCGCTGGACAATTCGCAGTGCCGTCATCGAAACCTCGTGTGTTTTGGCGCCCAACTGCAGTCGATTGGCAAAACGCATAATGTACAAACATGGATCTGTAAGAAAAATAAAATTGATAATATATATAAATACGGAAGAAACCACAAAAAAACACGTTTGTAAAAGCCTTGCCGACTCATTGGAAAATACAAGTTACGCTATGGTTATTACTAGTTAACAGAGAGGTATTAATCATATTAAACAAAACATTTGAACACCCATTAGCAAAAAGAGTAGGGCTTCATTTTAATGGCTTAAAATTGTTTTAAAATCATAACCAAAAACAAAAAATATTACTTAAGAACTTTGAGGTTATGATCGAATAGCTTTACCCTCTGTTAGAGTATCGTAATAAAATCAAAAGATTTCAATAAAATGCAAGAGCATCAGACGAAGAACTTGTTGGGCGACCTTGAAGCTGGGTCGGTCTAGCCAATGAAACCGAAAACATTCAATAACCGGCCCACGTATCCATGGACAGCTGCCGAAATAAACAATCTTGAACCCGAACTTCAGGTCCGATGTTATTCAATTCATTCAACTTTTACATGGCAATGGGCGATACAGAGAGTCGGATCGGGAGAAGAGAGCAAAAAACAGAAGACTTTAAAAACCGAAGAGTCGTGTCCAAGTGCAATTTTTCTATCATGCGATAATTTGTTTGCACTCTGCACGAATATCACGCATCCGTCACGTAGTCCCGTCAAAGGTTTTGGGCCATTCATTGGCCTATTAAACCGATAATTAGCTTTATTTGAACTAGATGAAAGACAGGCCCAGCCAAGGAAACTCACAAGACAACATGTGCAATTAACACTTGGCCCAGTCATTTCGGCCAAACCAAAAAACAAAAGGCAAAACGCAAACTCAAACAGCAATTAACGCACAACAAATACGTCTGAAAACCGAAAAGAAGAAAAATAAAACAGTGCGAAACGCATTGGAAAATCAAAGACAGCAGACAAACGACCTTGTCAATGTTGGTATTTGCCAATAGTTTTTTTTATATTTTGTACTTAACTTACGGTTTACAATTTGCCAGCAAATTGGTCTGGGAAATGTGGCTTAGGAGGAAACTCAAGATTATAATACCGATTTTCTAAGAGCTCGAGTTGATGGTCACTTGAATTAAACAATTACATTTTACATAATTGTTTGAATAATTGTCCAAGTTAATGGCTAAATAAATGCTAGGCCCTTATCTGTTTTAATTATTCAAATAATTGCAAAAAGAAATATTATTTTTTATAACATAGTAAGTCTTTCATAATTTATACTCAATAAAAAAGCAGAAAAAACATAAGTGCTCTTTTTAAGTACATCTTTAAAATAACTGCTTTTGTGAGGCTTCAAAGATTGTATAATATGAGGAGAAATTAGACTTGTCCTAGTGTTATCAGGTTCCTAAACTGTTTTCATAGAAGATTCTAAAATATTTCGACTTACATCAAAATCAAGAAAAATAAATATTTCTATTGACTAGATTCCATCTAAATAGATTAGCAGACTTACCCCAAAATTTATTAATTTATTTTTACATATTCAGTGTCCAGTTATTTTTCTGTGTTTATCCATAACCCCTATCTCGGGGCCTAGCACGTTGTCCCGGAACATACTGCTAGTCCTCCGGCACTCCTGCCCCCAACTTAGTTGTTTGTGCAGAGCCACTTGACACACAAAGACATATGCTGGTAAACGTCAACCCCTACTGACCGAGAGCAACGAGGGCGCAGCATCCACGATAGGATTCTTGTCAAAGTCAGGCCAACTGTACTCCTCAAACAAAGCACACAAAAAAAATTAACTCCGTAAAAGGAGGGGAAAACTATTTTTTAAACACTAATGAATGGGCATATTTGTGGAGGCCCAGAAGCAGCAGCCCTCCCTCCAACTCTGGCCGTTGAGTGCTCCACTTGAAAAATGATGCCGCTGATGCTTTGACTTCGAACTGCGATCGGAAACTGTGACTGCATTGGCCCTTCAGCACAGCGCCCACTCATCTGCCACAGCTGTTACTCAAACTGCGGCTGATGCCGCTATAACTGTTACTAGTACACTCAGGAAAATAAATTATTTATTCATATTTATTTGCATTTCGTTTTATATAAATATAGATCGTTGGGAAAATCAATGGTTAATCATTTTTTTAATTTTTCCAATATTTTCACAACATTCAACTATCTTTAATTGATTTAACCGAATGATTTGACCGAATTTATAAGGCACTGGTAAATCATAAGTATTCGTTAATTTATAAGAATTTTTGGGATAGTTTCTTACACTGTACTGCTGCATCTTGACAGTTGCCAGCACGACTGCTGCTAATGGTTTCTTAATGTGGCCCAACCCTCTCCTCACAGCCACTCCACCTTATCCTACGCACATTCTGCAACTGCAGCTAGTGAAATTATTATTATTTAAACTTTAGTTTTGCAATTGTCATGACAGCAATTATCATTTTGGGTGGACTTACCCTTCCAAATCCACCTCCCCCTGGCTCCTCTGTTAATTGTGAAAAAAAAAATGTCAGCGATTTTGGTACAAAATTGCCTTCCACACCAACAATTATCTGCGTTTTGCTGCTTTAATTGTTTTGTAATTGACCAAGAACGCGAGATTAATGAGGAAATGCAATCTGAGGAAATGCGGCGTACAAGAGTCGTGAGCAAACACACAAAACCAACCCAAGCATCAAAATTGGTTAGCACTCAATAAAAATCAAATAGTCGCATTTATCGCATGCAATAAAATCGCGTTTCAAGGCGAGCGCAAAATGAAGAAAAAAAAATAACCGAAGCTAAAACCATATAGTCGATCGTGGTCGATCGGGTGGCGAGTGTCGAGTTGCCGGTTTTGGATCTCACTTGAAAAATTAGTAACTCACTACGAATTCGTTCGTTGACTCGCGCAGTCGCAGCCGCAAGTCGAAAAAAGTAGGTTGAAATCAAAAACGTGGCCGGTCGGACGTCGCGCATGCGCAAACCAAAAATAAAAAAAAATATAAGAAAAGAAGAAGCTGCGAAGAAAAAATCCCTCTTTATATATATTTATTTATATATATGTAAAGCCCATTTCATCAGTTGTCTGCGGTTTGCCGTCCATCCCAACAAATTACAAAAAGTGTGTATATTTGCCTGATTGCTTGTTAAAGTAATAATAATCGTTGACAAAGTGCGCGTAGCTCGTTTGTTTGTTCTTCTGTTGACGTTTTAATTTATGTGCAGTTTTTTGTTTTTTCCACTTTTTTCATCACTCAGCTGACAGCTTTGCAATGCCGGTTGAGCGTGAAGAAAAAACAAAAAACAACTAAAGAAAATTGCTTAGAGTGAAGTGCAAATATAACAGAGAAGCATTCGAAAAAAAATCCCCAAAAAATGTTTCCAATCTTCAATCTTTAACGAAACACATTCTCTCACCTGTTTCTCACATTAAAATATTCCTCTTCTTTCTCCGCTTACGTCATACAATCCATTGATTTTAACAGTTGCTGTGCCTAATTAATTGTTCCAATATTTAAACCTTTACGTGTCACCCGGAAAGTGCTTAGCAATGCTAAAAATAATCAGTAAACTAAAGAATTCAACTGAGGATACCACTTCATTGAATGCTACCCTCACCCCATCGGAACCAATTGAATTACTAATGACTGTCGATAATAATGATCGACGCCTCCGAATTGAAAAAATAAACAATTGGAGATCTCAATCAAGGCTAAACTCTCTTATCACACATGGAATATGTAGTCTCGCCGTGTAATTATCCGTTAGCTGCACTCTCGGTTAATTACCGAGCATTTGGCTGTAATTTACTGCTCATAACTATGATTTGTGTTTAGAGGCGCTGCTTTTAATGACAGCCCTCCCAGGGTTTGGGCTGCCCGAAGCTTGAATTGTTTTTTCTGTTTCGAAAATACTGAAATTTCCCGACCAGCCATTCAAAGTCCCCACATTGTTTTGTGTTTGTATTTCGAAACAAGGTAAACTTTAGAAACAACTAAAATAGTTAAAATAAAAGCCCCACCTAAAATAAAGAGAAAAAGCTGGCCAAGCAAACAAAACACAAGAGGATTGCGTCTTTTTTCACTCTGAACTCAAAGAATTCGCATTTAGAATTCCACTCAAGAACCGCACAAACTGGAGGCATGAATACTTAAATATTAAGTAACTCAAACTCGATGACAATTTATAAGTTTTTACTAATATACATGCTGAGGAGGAAACGAAAACGGGTTTCAGCCAACACCGAAATACGGCGATAAATATTTGACAAAGAACATGTCGCCAATAAGCACAGAAACCGATTTAGAATTCAGCAAATCATTCTGAGTTGAAAGACCATTCAAAGGGGGATTTTTCTGGGCCATAAAGAATCGAATGCAAATAACAAAAGTTACCAAGATCTTAAATCTTTAAGAAAAAAACTTAATTCGTCGAGTCATTAGACAAAATGCAACATGACTTACCAAATAATCCCAAGAAATATGAAAAGTGAGTGAGAAAAACTGCACGTTAATGTCTATAAAATTATCTGCAAATTAAAGCGTCTAAAGCCAAAGACTTCGTCTGAAAAGCTGATAGACTGAAAAGCTAAAAAAATCCAAAGGCAGACAGCTGACGGTCTGAATAATTGCGAAACAACCTAAGGGCACTCGAACCGAGGTCCAAACTCATATGGAAACACCTCAAACAAAAGTCGAGAGCCTCACACTAAATGGAACTCTGAAGCTTTACGAGAATTAGATACTCTGGTCCAGAAATGCAAATATATTCATAAGCTGTCGTAGAACCTTCGTACCAGCGAAATAATTATTTAATATAATTATTTTTCCACTGGGGAGTTTCTTTTATGAAAAGATTTCCAATATTGTTGATGAAAACTAGAAATATTTATATTGGAAAAATGTAAAGGCAGTAATTAGTCTAAGTTCTGATATAACTTACAATCATTGTATCTTCAGTTTATCAAATAGTTTGGTAATTTTAATAGTCTAGTAAGCAAAAATTCCCTTCTAAGACTCATAATCTTAAATCCAGAAAAATTATTATTTATACAAAAATGCCAACTTTAATTATAACTGTTAATCATGGCTTATTCTTAACCCCTTCAACCGTTTAACCTGTTAAACCACATGCATTTTTGACCCCATTTCGAGTATTTTTTAGATCAAAACCTTTTTATTTCGTTCCTTGAAGCCCTTATCAGATTACAGAGTTGGTTGGCCAGTCGCCATAAAAACCCAAAAAAAATTATACCAAGTTAGCAACAAATTGGCCGAGTAAAAATGAAACACAAAAATCAGACAAGCGCGAACAATTAAAGTGCAAAATCGGCAAATCAACGAGCTCTTTTTGGCCGACTGACTACTTGACCAGTCGGTCAATCGCCCAATCGACAGTTCGAGTGTTTCGGAAAAGAGTTCGACAGGTTATTTTATTGGCCACGTGAGCGAACGCTTTTTGGGATTTTGCTATGCGAGGGGCTTTAGAGTTCGATTGCTTTTTGAGGCTTAGATTTTATCCAGAGAATCAGCGGGTTTCAGGGGCCTTATGACACTTTTTGGTTAATCAAGCAAATGTGTGGTGATTGCAAAATGGCCAGCGAAGGGGAGAAAAAATGCAACAAAAGGAGCTCGTTAAAAAAGGGCCAAGAAATAATGAGAAAACAAAAGAGTCAACTCACAGTAACTGCAAGAAATACGAAAATAAAACACAAACTCTTCACTTTTTTTTTATTTTCTGCGCTTTGCTGTGTGATCTTGGTGATGTGGTTGGGTTTTTTCTTCTTCTCTTTTTTGTCGGGCATGTAATGAGGAAATAAAAATCGAAAGTGTTACGCGGGCGTTGGTTTGGGGTCTCGCCTTTGCCACCTTATTTTCGGTCAGTGTATGTGCGCGACGTTGACCCAAGAGACTTGGCCAAAAAGTGGGTCGCTCCATTTGCAATTAAAGAGGCAATGAAAAATAAAAATGAAAAGTGAAAAAAAAACCTCAAGCTGGGAGGAAAACAACAGCGAATACAATTAAGAAAAGGGCGGCCAAAGTTAATGCAAGCGGCAAATTCGAAATGCACCTTTATACCCAAAGTGCAATGGCAGTGCGGAAAATACGCATTAAATACAAAAAATACACACGCGAGAAAGAAATTAAACAAAACACGCTGAAATTGAAATGTGGCTGGAAAATAACAAAAGCCCACAGCTGATGAATAATAAACGTGACTCGATTGTTAAGCCATGAAATTAATTTAGCATAAATTGTATGTGTGTTTTGCATAGCAACTAAGAGGGTTGAGGGGTTAAGGCGATACGCTGGCGCTTTTTTTGGAAGAAAAACGCAAAATAGCTGCCTAGAATTATTTGCGATTTATTTTTGTATCAATGAGAGGCAATAGATTTATAAAAACGGATTTTACAATAATCTAAAATTCTGTTGATTTTTAGATGAACTAATTGTCATTTGAAATATCTGTCAAGCTTGATCTTTTATATGATTAATACAAATAAAAATATGTGAAAAATATTTCAGTTACTTTAATCAATCACTGAGATTGAATTACAGTATTCATCCTTTAACACCTCTGAGTTTACCATTACAAATTTGTAGCTTTCGTTTAATTGTTATTTTGATAAATGAAAGATGCATGACACCGCTTAATTGATAGACTCGTGATCTTAAAATCTGAAAGAGATACAACTATGCTGATTCTCTATTGCTTCGTTTAGTGTTACGAAACACCTATAATGTACTGAAATGCAATCATTAAAACCAAATATTCCATTTTCCAGTTAAATGCCAATTCAAGAACCTAACAAATCTAAAGCTTATAAGCTTACTTATTACTTAAAAATTAGATTCATTAATGAATATCTGTCTTACAAGTTAATCACCCAAAATATAGTCATAGATGAAGCTTCAATAGCTAAAAAACACTAATTTCTGTCAAAGGTCTAACTTAGTTCAAAGCCAAAGACCAATCGAAGCATGAAGAACTTCATTAGGCGACGACAACAAATTGCTTTGTTTTATTGGGGGCGTGGCAGCGGGGGAGGGCGTTGCAATACTTCATTTTGTCAGGTGGAAAGATATATATATATTCTCTTATACATATACATACATATGTATATCGCCCTCGCCACGAACTTGTTGATTGTGGCAAAGACAGGCCGTGACGAGTCGAAAATAAAGTGAGAGAAACAAAAATTATGTTCATGTCTGTCGCCGTTTTGTTTTGGTTACGGACTTCGCCATGCTGCCAATTAAAAATAGCCGCTTGCATAATTTCCGTTGGCAGAGAGTCAGGTGCAAGAGTTCTCCAGTTGACCCAAAAACTTTTAATTCCCATTGGTGGGGGGTCAAAGAAAGAGAGGGGCTTGACTTAATTCACTTCCTGAAGCTAATAAAATGCGACAAATGCGTGCGAGCTTGAGTTGAAATTGAAAATGTTAATGGAAATGGAGAAGTGAAAGTGCAGCCCGCAATTGGCAATTTTTCATTTGAGAGTAGTGAGCCCAAAGACTGAGCCAAATCGATTCCAAATTGTATCATTTATATCCATAAAAATCAGATTATGTTACATATCAAAATTACTACAATTGCGGTCAAACTAATAGCAGTGCTATTACAATTTGCGGTTACTGTTTCACATTAGGCGGTTTTCTTAATTTTAACAAACTTATGTAGTTCAAATTGTGTACAGCGGGTGGAGAATAACCGGATTAGAAACTATATAAGCCACGGTATAGAAAATACTTGGACCATCCCCAATCGATTTTGTGCATGTATAAATCAAATATTTAGCTATAGTTAAAAAAAAATTTAAATGGAAAAAATTTTTTTTTATATGAAAAATGATTATAAAAACTCTCTAAAATACTTGACTTCCAGAAATACGGACCATTTAATCTTAATGTTTTCGAAATAAGATGGAGTAAATTCTTATAAAGTTTAAATAAATATTAATATTTTTAACCAGGAGCAGAGGTAATGTAAAGATGACCCCGCATTCGACGACCATAAGATGATCGAGGCCTTTGCGAATCATTTGAGCAGCCATCTGGGACGCCACCTATTCTACTGGGCCATCGAATCGAGCAGCGCCACTTCGGGAAACTACGGCCTCAACCTGCGGCTCTCCGAGCTGATCAACAAGTTCCACGGCCCCCTCGAGCGGGGAGTGCAGGTGCTGGATCACCTGCTAACCCTCGAGGAGGACGACTTCGCCGGCCATTGGGGCAGCGCCTATGCGCACAACTATGAGCCGGAGTACGCAGCTCGAGTGCCGGAGAACGAGGAGCTGCCACCACCAGAACAGAGTGAGTAATCTTTATGAAATGCAGCTCTTGAATTGAAATTGCAGCAAATTTATTTTGCATTTTTGATGTAAAAAATATATGAAAGGTGTTTTAAATAAGTATTTTAAGTTGCTTGTTAAGCTTGTGGTCATAAGAAGAACGACCTTCATTTTAATTTAAAAAACACCCATTAATGGTTTAATAGAAGCAACTAATATTTCCAATAAAGCAGAAAGGCAGTTAACAGGGGTATGACTCAAAAATTAGCTTAGCCAAAGGTCAACAACATGTTTTTATTTTTCGGCACACATCTTCGATCTGCTGCCGGCTGGAGCTTCTGTTGGCTGAGCTGCTGCAGAAACAGGTTTTACTGTACATGAATGTGCTAAGAGATAAACAAACCTTGACAAGTAAGCTCGCTGTCCAAGCAAACACATCAAAATCGATTTCAAGTTCAGCGATATGTTTCTTCACAATAAATATTCGCAGGCCAGGCAATAAATAATAGACCAAATACGATTCGGACATGCAAATACCAGGTAAAGCCCCCAGCAAGGTTGATCACAAAAAGAGACATAGACTTGTAAAATAAAAGATATGAATATAGGGGTAGTTACACAAAGAAAAATATTAATTATTGCCACAAACCATTAGTTGGAATTGTTTTAAAGAAGTTGTGATACTTTTGCTGACACTAAAAAATTAAATATACCATAAAGAGTCGTGTGATGGACAGGCATTTTTGTAATTATTTACATGGTTTTCAGTTTTAATTTAAGACTAAATTTCTTTCTGTGTCAAATAAGCCTCTTGAATCGGCCCTATTAGCTCCCACACGTACGTCTTTTTATGGCGCGCCATGACGGAAATACATATTAGTATCGAGTGGCCGTGATATAATCAAAATGGATTGCGAAATCCACTCTTGACGTACTCCGGCTAATTCAAATTCAAAACACGCGCCTAAAAGCGACGCTAGCCAACACTGTAATATACTCGTTTGGCAGCACTTGAACCGTAACTATCGAACACGCATTGCAATTTGTTGTACCTCCAACTGTTGTTTACAAATTTAACATTTCCTCGAAATATAAGAAAAAACATTTTATTCTAGAGTAAATTAAAAATTAATATAACTAAAGCTAAAGGCGGAAAGCTAAAAATACTTTTGGTGGCGTTACGATTATTATAACCATAAGAAATACCAACAAATACAGCTGATCCGAATGCATCTCTGCTAAATAACGCATTCCAGCCCTGGAAGAATTACTTGTATATTCTATTCTTCGGGAAAATAAAAAATAAAAGATGAAAAAGTCGATGTAAAAAGTCATACGATTGACTTAAAGTGAAGGCTAATGTTTGAACAGCGCGAGCTTGAGTAAAGTCTCACTAAGTTACTGGGTTTTCTAATTCCGCAAAGCTCCAAAACGCAGTTTTTCCCTGCGATGGCCAGCAGCAGTAGTAACAATTCCACGGCCAACAATCACGGAGGCCACAATCCGTTGAACCGATTGTCCCTGAAATCCGCCGGAAAGCGAAATCAGGAGAGCATGTCGCATTCCCAGCCAAACGGTGGATGGATTAATGGTAAGGCGGAAAATCGAATATGGAAAAACAAGAAAAGGGGTCGGAGTAGGGAAAGGCAGCGGGAGGAGGGGTAGACAGGTGCCTTGTATGTCTGTGAGTTATTGATTTTTCACACAACTTGAACACCAGTGTCACCATTCAGGCGGGAGGCGTTGGAGGGGCGTAACGAAGAGGGGCGCTGTCTGTCAACACAAACAACAACAAAAACAGCAGTTGAATGCGTTGCTATTTTGAGACGCTCCACTTTTAGAGTACAGCAGAACATAAGTAACTAGAACGGTGCTCTTCTTTTATAAACTAACAAAGGTAAAATTCTAAAGTATAGATATATCTCAGGGTGGATTTGATAATGTAAAATAATGTTCATACCAATTGAACTTTCAAAGTTCAAGGATTAAAATTCAAAGTCAAAAATGTTGTGAAGGCGTTAAGGCTTAAAATTTAACTTTTTATTCAATAAAATTTTAAAAAAATAAAACGGCAAACTGATTTTACAACCATGAAACCGTATATAAAAAATTAGTCAAGCGCTCTTTGAACTTTTTACAAACTTTTTAACATTTACAAACAACATTTCTTGTTGATGATGCAAGTATTTTCAGCTTATGAAAGCTTCACTGTATTTGGGGTCTAATAATTGCGGAAAAAAAGGGGAGACCCTGGCATTTGTTATTTACGATGCACACGCAGCGGAAGTTGCACAAATGTGGCCGCGCGTGCTGCTGGTTTTAAGCGAACTGGGTGGGATATTAAGTGTAGATATAACTTATTTAACCCAAATAATAATATTTATCTAATCTCATTTACAGTGGAAACCCTCAACAATGGCAATGGGTTGCTTCACTCGCCGCCCCACAATCACCAACAGCAGCAGCAACAACAACAGCGAGGCGGAGGAGGAGCATCACCAGCTGGAGGAGGTGCCTCTGCCGGAGCGGATCACAATATCCAGATAACGCAGCCGATAAGTGCCCCATCCTCACCGTTGGCCTCACCAGGAGCCCTGAACAGCAGCAGCAGTGGAGGCGGCGCAGGTAGTGGCGGAGCAATCTCCGGTAGTCCTACAGCGTTTTGCCTGCCCTCCAGTTCAGCCGCGGCGGCTGTTGCTGCCATCTCAGCCACTCCCACAAGCGGCAGTGGATCGTATGTGTGCTCCGCCGGAACCAATTGGCATTTCGCGGCCGTGGCAGCATCCAATGCCATCGATACTGCTGATCCCAACTGGCAAGCCAGCAAAGCAACTGTTCTCGAGAGAAATGCAGCCATGTTCAATAATGAGCTGATGTCCGATGTTAAGTTCATCGTGGGTGGGGAGTTCGGTAAGGGTTCTTTACTTAAATTCTTTATCAATAACTAATCTAATGACCTATATATATTCCAGATATTGATCCCATTCAAACCATTCCCGCCCACAAATACATTCTCGCCACTGGCAGCTCCGTATTCTATGCCATGTTTTATGGCGGACTGGCGGAGAACAAGCAGGAAATCAAAGTGCCTGACGTGGAACCCACTGCCTTCCTAACGTTGCTAAGGTGCGATATTAAATATAAAACAAAAACTAATATGATTTATAAAAATTGGGAACTGTAACTATTAACGATTTCATTATTCTCCTTAGGTACCTCTATTGTGATGAAATCAAACTGGAACCTGAGCACATCCTCGCCACCCTATATGCCGCCAAGAAGTATATTGTCCCGCATTTAGCCAGGGCCTGTGTTAACTATTTGGAGGTGAAGTTGACGGCAAAAAACGCCTGCCTACTTCTCAGTCAATCGCGTCTGTTCGAGGAGCCCGAGCTGATGCAACGTTGCTGGGAAGTGATCGACGCACAGGCCGAGATGGCGGTTAAGTCCGAGGACTTTGTGGATATTGACCTTAAGACATTTGAATCGATCCTGTCAAGGGAGACACTCAACTGCAAGGAAATCCACCTGTTTGAGGCGGCTCTTAATTGGGCCTTGAACGCCTGCGAAAAGATGAGTATCGACGACACGCCCCAAAACAAACGTCGACTGCTGGGACAGGCGTTGCATCTCATTCGCATTCCTACAATGTCACTGGAGGAGTTTGCCAACGGCGTGGCGCAGACAGGCATTCTCTCGTCGCAGGAAACTATCGACATGTTCCTTCATTTTACCGCCAAGATGAAGCCTTCGCTAGGATTTCCTACACGCTCCAGGGCGGGTTTAAAGACACAGGTCTGCCATCGATTCCAGTCGTGTGCCTATCGCTCAAATCAGTGGCGCTATCGCGGACGCTGTGACTCAATTCAGTTCTCAGTAGACAGAAGGTAATTTAGAACCGTACTTTGAAGAAGAAAATAGCTAATCGAAAACTTCCTATTCCAGAATTTTTATTGTGGGCTTTGGACTGTATGGCTCATCGACTGGCGCCGCCAACTATAACGTCAAGATCGAGCTTAAGCGTCTGGGTAGGACACTTGCCGAGAATGATACCAAGTTTTTCTCGGACGGATCGAGCAATACGTTCCACGTATTCTTTGAGAACCCTATTCAGATCGAGCCCGAGTGTTATTACACTGCCTCCGTGATCCTCGACGGCAACGAGCTAAGCTTTTTTGGCCAGGAGGGTATGTCGGAGGTGCTCATGGGCAACGTGACTTTCCAGTTCCAGTGCTCATCGGAGAGTACCAACGGCACTGGAGTGCAGGGTGGCCAGATCCCAGAGCTAATCTTCTACGGACCTACCACAGTGACTGCAATGAGTTCACCTACAAATTCAGTGTGTGCCACTCCCATTGGTGGTAGTGGATCAGCGAGTGGAGGACCTACATCGACCGCGGCAGTCGGAACTGGTAATTCAAATGGCAGCAACGCATCTGTTGGCAACAACGCTAACACTTCTGGGGAGGATATGACCGGCGATGGAAGCACCTGATGCGCACAGCTCTACTGTGCCGAATGGCAGCAAAAGTGTTACTACCGTCACCAGCAGCAACAGAGGAGACCAACACAATACAAAACACAGCAACCGCAGCAGCTACAGATACAAAATCGAAACTCATGGGTTTTCAGTGCAACACAACAAAGCAAATTGGAGTTTTAGGCGCATATATATATATATATATATACCAAGATAGTAGAGTGCTCTAGTTTTCGTAATAGTCCTATATATAGTCATATATACACCTAAAAGCATAGACACATATATATACACCTCGGCAGTGCGTTTTAAAGCTCTAAGACAGTTGTCAAAACGAGATCATCTCAAAATGGAAAGTCATCCGAAGCAAGTCATTCGATATAAGGAATTTTCAATAATTGAAAATATTTCCTTCGATATCCCAAGTATATTAAGGAAAGTAATTTCGACGGTTTTGCAGTTCTAAAACGCACTGTACATAGTTTGTTGGTAATGCATATAAAGATATTTTCAAAATCGAAACAAGTTGAACATATACACCCATAACTATATACATAGATACAGATTAGTAGTTAACTCGAAAACTTAATACGTTCCACGATTTGAGAGGGCGGGATAGGGTAAAAAGGGCGCTATATAGAGACGCATACATAAATGCAATAAGTGAAAATCGGGCAATCAGTCAAGCTAGCGTTAACCAATATTCTAAAGTTAAAGGGAGAGTGGAAAAACTAACATAATATACCAAACATATTTTTGCCAGCATATACCTAACAGATATACACATCCGATCTGATAATGATATATACACGCATATTGATAAACTATAGACCTATACACTTCAAGGGATAATAAGCCATGTTAAGAATTGCATACGACGAATTTGAAAGCCAAGTTAACCAGTTTACGAAATAGGAAAAAAAAAACAAAATAAGAAATCAAACGATCTTGTACGAGTATGCGCACAAAACCTTCTACATACATATATATATTCGAATATTAATCTTGTAGTATGCATTATCTATTTCGTAGTTGTTCCATTATATCTCTCATACATACACATATGCCTTTCTACTGATATTAAGCCCCGTATTTTGCTGCTGTGCATTATTTTAGGCAGCTCTGCGCAACAATCAGTTTTACGTTCGACTTTTAAATTCCTTTGGAAATTGTACTGATTTTTTGCTTTTGATAAGAAGACAATTACGGTTTTTTTTATAAATATATCTATATAAAAAAAATGTTATCCTATATTGATTATGAATCTATTACCATTATGTACTCTAATCAAACAAAATACATTATTAGATTTTTGCGAATTTACTTTTAAAGAGTTTACAATTTTTGGGATTGGCCTAAGGGAGTAAGTAGCCTTACCTGATTGCCCAAAAAGCAAAAAGGCACTTAAACTAAAACAAGCTAGTTACAAAAATCAATTTGGGGACCTTAACAAAGCATTAATTGAATCTAATTACGAGCACACAATTAAAGGTAATTTAATTTCATAATAAAATATTTGCCACACCACTCTTATGGTTTTGTGCGGTTTTATGGCCATTTGTTCAATGTAAATTGGAATCAACCGAGTTCTTAAACAATTATTGAATATTCATAACGTGTACTCACCCACAGACGGTATGTTAATACAAAGGGCATGTGATAGCTTCAAGTAGGTGCGTCCCAGCTCATATGAGCAGATTTGCTGAACGTCGCTTATGTCAATAAGGAGATCTAGAAAATAATGCATAATTAGCTAAGGGTCTCTATTGGCAAATACAATGCCGAACTTACGGGAGGTACCCTCTGTCCTACAAGTCATATACACGCAGGCGGCATAAATGTGGGTGCTCTTCCTACCACGGGTGAGATGCCTGCTCAGCGCCATCTTAAAGAAATTTAAAGCAGTATCTGCATAGTGCTGCGATAGTTGCAGCTGTTGGCAGAGCAATGTTATATCCTTCTTCGCCTTCTTAATGGTCACCTCGCGGGATTCAGTGCCTGATCCCACCTGGAATTTTCCGTAGCCGTAGTTTGTGGCCCCACCGGATGAGTCGGCGGACACAAACTGTCCAATTGCGGCAGATCCATGACCAACTTCCTCGAACTGTACTTCGGAGACAATAAGGGAATCTTCCAGAACAGAACCACAGTTCATGCAAACTATAATAAAAGTAATACGTCAAATAACATAGCAACATTTATAAACCCACAACGTACCCCGATCTCCGCGAGCATTATCTTCCTCGATCTCGTTGGATCCGCAATTGCGACATTTTAAACCGGTAGACATGATTGTTACCTTCTCCTTACTTTCACCGAATTGTATTAAGATTGCACTACCGGCAGCAAAATCTTGTTATGAACTACTGTTCGCACAGTTTAAACCTCTTGTTGACTGTCAATTCAGGACATTTTTCACCTTTTTTTTAAACAATTTGCCATTTGTTGCCAATTAAAATCAACACGCTTGGAAAACAGCTGATTAATAACGTTTTCTAACACTGGTGGTAAAACAAAACGAGATAGAGATGTGAAAGTTTCGTGATCGAGTCGCAGTAGATGTTTATCATAAGTTTAATCTTTTTTATAAAATCTATATATTGTAAGATAAAATTGTAATTATGTTTATGTCTTAGTGTTTAAGATATTAAATAGTTTTAATAGAATGGAATTTAACCATCTGCCCATCTTTAGAGTTTGAGGTATTAAAAAGACGAAAAGCTTTTAAGGTGACGCATTAAGAAGGTTTGTTTGTATCGCTTTCAGTGTGAGGTTGAAACAACTTACAGAAAAAGTACAAATAGGATCTCAGTTTTATTGAACTATACATCTTGAATTACATACGGACTTATCTTATTGGTTTATATTTGAGAAGTTAAAAGTAACACGCTTATGACGTCACAGAATGTCAAAGTAAAAACCACCCTACTTTTCTCAACACGTTACACAGCCGGAATAAACAAGTCAAGTCGGCATAGAATTTTCCAAAATTCATCTTTGAAATTAAATTACCGATTCATTTATTTCCGAGATGGGCGATGCCGATAGAGCAATGAACGAAACGGAAGCCGCTAAAACGGTAGCCGGAATACAGGAGATTCCAGCAGAGGATGTGGCTTCCATTGAGGAAGTAATCACAATCGATCCGGAGTGCTACGAATTGGATCTGAATCATCGACGCATTGAGAAGATGGAGAATTTTGAGCCCCTAACGCGTATCGAACGCCTGTTTCTGCGCTGGAATTTGATAAAGAAGATCGAGAACTTGTCCACCCTGAAGACCCTAGTCGAATTGGAGCTCTACGACAATCAGATAACCAAGATCGAGAATCTGGACGACTTGACCAATCTGGAAGTGCTGGACATCAGCTTCAATCGTCTCACGCAGATAGAGAACCTTGACAAATTGGTTAAGCTGGAAAAGGTATACTTTGTGTCAAACAGGATTACCCAAATTGAGAATCTTGAGATGCTTACCAATCTCACCATGTTGGAGCTAGGAGACAACAAACTAAAAAAGATTGAAAACATCGAAATGCTGGTTAACCTACGACAGCTCTTCCTGGGTAAAAATAAGATTGCCAAAATAGAGAACCTGGACACTCTGGTCAATCTGGAAATCCTCAGTCTGCAGGCCAATCGTATTATAAAAATCGAAAATCTTGAAAAGTTGACCAACCTCCGTGAACTCTACATATCAGAAAACGGGGTGGAAACTATTGAAAACCTCTCCGAAAACAAAAATCTGGAAACCCTCGATTTGGCCAAGAACCGATTGAAGGCCATTGGTAACCTGGAGAAACTGGAACTCCTCGAGGAACTCTGGCTAAATCACAACGGGGTAGATGACTGGAAGAACATCGAACTGCTTAAGGTGAACAAGTCGCTGCAGACCATCTATTTGGAATACAATCCCCTAGCGAAGGACGTCCGCTATCGCTCCAAGTTACGCGACATCCTGCCGCAGCTCCAAAAGATCGACGCCACCCTATGCAAGGCGCCTGGCTCCTAGATGGACCCATTGTAACCCATTTAAAAGACTAATCCACGGCGTTGCGCCTAAATATTTATACCGATTTGAACTTTGGATAACTGCGTTTAAAATATACAAAAACATTTAGAACTTTAAAAGTTGATGTATACTTAGGAATCTCTCCCTAAGTCGTTTTATTCTGGTCGTCTTTTTTTTGGAAAAGTATATATAGAAATTGTTCACCCAAAAAGTGATATTTACTCAATGAATCAGAAAAATTATCTAGCAAGTTTTATTAGAAGTTTTTATCTTTTATTGAGAAACAAATTTATTTTTCTTTTTTTGCTATATTTTATTTTAAAAAATTACCATTATGAATTTATCATGCTTAATTTAATTATAGCTTAAATCACCATAACTTTTGAACAAATATTTAAAACAAAATGTTATACTTTGAATGGAACACATTTACATATTATTTTATTATATAGATATATGTTCAATTGAGTGAAATCCTAGAGCTTAACTGATAACTGGCTTTTTTGTCTCTTTGATTTCTTTTTGTGCAGTTTAATGAGTAAATATGCTTATCATTTATTTTGTTGGTCACTAAGTAAACAAAGTATATGAGGCGTCATGTGGTTTCCTTATGGAGGAGGTCATCAACTTGAAACAGCGTAATAATCGGAGGCGCTGACAATGTGAGGTCCGCCGTAGAAATCCAGCACAAAGATATTGCTAATGTCCAGTTCGCATAGGTAGAAATTATGGACTGTGAGAACAAAAAAGAATTATTAACAAGATTTAAATTTATGCTTATTCGATTATCGAAAGCTAGAACAAATTTTTAAAAATACAAACCCTTTATCCAATTACTGGCAGCTGGATGACGTTTCACAAAGGCATCAAAAGCGGGCTTATAGGTCCTTTCGCTGGGATCCAACTAAAGATTAATATTAAATAAGTATTTGTCACCTTTGCATGGAAGTAATTTGTACCATGTACCTTTTTGACCTTGCCGCTGATCATGGCACGGGCACATGTAGGCTCCATCGGATCCTGGCCTCCATCCTTGCACTTCAAGGTCTGCTCATCACTGAATAGTAGTGTAACCTTGTTGTCCTTCTGCCAATCAGGACCAGTGAAATCCAGATCGGTTAGCACAAAGCGGATTCTCCCTGTGGAGTTCTCTTTAGCATCGCTATCATCTATAGAGATAATGTTGACCATGGGATATCCTTCTACAAGTTTATTTGTAGAGAGACTTCCGAATGCTGCCCAGTTGGTTCGATGGACCAAATCTCTGGCTATCTTGGCGTGATTTAACTCCCGCTCCCGTTTATATTCCTTGATAAGACGTGCGTCTTCTCGTGGGGAGTAGCCAAAACTGGGAAGCGGGCTGACCAAGGCCAACATCAAGGCTACCAGTATGGAAGGGCTGAATTTCATGGCTGGAACTGCAAGTATAACGATTCGGCTTTGAAAGATCACTGATCACTGGACAGCTGAAAGATCGGGAAAAAGGAATTTATAGGCACAGAATTTGCAATGACTGGCTTTATCTCTCTGGTCATTGAAATGTATTCAATCCTCTCTGACTCTGATTCAAGTTAAACAAAAACAACGCATTGACCTCTTCCGCCTGTCTACATTCTCCATTGTACGCCGTATTTTGCACGTCGTTCCATTATATATTTACCTGGAGAGTATGGAGTACGGACCCCGTTATCGGTACTTCTGCTTTGAGATTTGTTTGTAAACTGACTGGGCAACTATTGCGCCTTTATAATCACCAGCTGAGTAATACAATGAGAGATCCGATCAGCTGTTTTGAGCAGGTACCTCGACTTTGTGGGGGTGTATGTGACACACAAAGAATCTGCTATATGTGAAACCCTCATTTCCGTATCTCTTAAAAACCCATTAGTGACTGATACTAAAACTGATTTTAGAGTGAGCAAATTAAATTTTAATCAGATTGCAGGGTCTTTTGTTAACGGCCCACTTAAAATGTATAAAACCGTAAACAAATGTTATTCGTTCTTAAAACTTGAAAAATTGTTGTATAATCTTAAAAACAAAAAGAAAAAAATGTATATTGCTTAACATTTATTAAAAAATTAAATTATTTTAATTATGCCCTGTAAAAACGGTAAGGATTTATAAAGAAAACTGCAATAAATATTTTCCCTTCTAAAATTGTATACATACTAGGGTACCAGCATACCGATCATCCAATAACGGAGGCTTGCAGCATTGCCAGAGCAAAATAAAGCCGACTGCTATAAAACTAGACTTGGGATAGGCAGCAGACCAAGTTCAAAGTATTTTAACATTTTCTTTCATTTTATTTCTCAAATACGTAGGTATGCTTAAATATGTATGTTTTTCTTTAGGAGTATCATTATATTTTGACTTGATCTTGTATTACCATATAACTTGTACATTTCACTTGCATTTAACTTGACCTCATTTAACATTTATTGTTTCTATTTGCGATTGGCTCGAAATATCGCCAACTTCTGGTTCTGAATATCCACCAAGTGTCTGTGTGTGTTCATTATTCTAGTGTGCGATTATTATTTTAACATTTATTTGTATTTCTGTTACATTTACGTTTTTATTTTTGTACCGTTGGAAATATACTTTTGTTCTCATATTATTAGACATTGTTCTTTTTGTTTTTTGTTGTAATTAAATTACTTTTGCCAGATTAGTTTACCCTGCCGCATACAGTTTGTTTGAAAAATATATGTACATATCTCATGGAGTCCTGAAATCAATATGTACGTATAGATCTCGAGTGTTTTCCTCAAAAAATAGATGTGTAAAAGTTGATCGTACGTGTATAGTGTAAATATGTTTGTATGTATGAGTGTAAAACATTTTAAGTTAGCTTCGTTGATTTATTGATTTTGTTAAAGATTTTTGTTTAAAATGTAAAGCCCATTTGCGTTGCTTTGCAGCGGAGAGTAGCTCGAAATTGTATATTCCTTCTTTGTTTGTGTTTCAAGACATTAAGCTTACGATATAAAAATAAATTAATCGATTTTTGTAACCCTTTTTTGAGCTGATTCATTGGAGGAGTACCGCAATGACAGATCGGAGCTTACATTTGTTGAATGAAAGTGTTTTGACAGCATGGTTAAGGATACTTTCAAAGAAAACACATCAATTTAGGTATCCACTTGCATATATTAACAAAAAAATATAACATTTAATTTTAAAATTACGGTTTCAGATATATTATGTCAAAACACTTTACTCCAATCTTGTATATTGTTTAAACCAACTTCACTAGAAGAACAGCAACTCTGAGTCCATGTTGTATATAGATATCTAGATATCTTTTACGCTTATCATTATGTGGTATTACACAGTATTCCTTTACGTTTAACCCTTTTTACTTGCCATACACATATCGTTGATTATGGTTATGATAACTAAATGCATTTAAATCATCTATAATATTCATACAAATCAATTACAGACACATCCACATTAAAACAATGAAGTATACAATATTTTTTTCTCTAATTTAATGCCATAATGAAAACTTGCAATGGCTTTAGTACGTTACATGGTTAGTTTATGCTTAGACTAACATACAAAATGCTGCATTAGCTGAGCTCCAGTCAGGCCGATCTTTGTAGTCCACATATATTTACTTTATGTGAACGGGTCTGAAAGAGCCACAAAAAAAAAGACATTTGCAATCTTCTCATTTAAACAAATTACACACAGTTTAATACTTCTTGCTTATATTTTTTGCGATTCCTAATACAAAATACGACTACCATTTATGTGTATACAGATTAATAATTTCTTAACCACTTTTTTGTTTTTAGTTTTAGATTTTTTTCAAACAATTCCTTGGCGCTTGCGTATTTATTTTTTTGTTTTTGTGTAGTTTTGAACGATAGATTTTGCTTTTTCCATGACCAAATATCAAACAGAAATTTAAAGCTTTCAATTCACTTTCGTTTCGTTTTGCGTGTTACATTTTTGACTAGCTTGGAAGCATGCGTTAAATTAGAACCTAAAGTGTGAACTCTGAACTGGACTTGAACACAGAAAGAAAAGCAAATCGGGGCAGTTTACAATACGCGGTACATTGGTATAACGTATTAAAGCTATCGTTTTATCAGCCAACGCACTCCAGTCGGATCAAAGAGGCAAACCACAGTAGACGGTTAAACTACATAAAATATTTATGAATCATCAACAATAATGTGGACTTTGTCAAATAACTAAGTATATTTTAAAGTAAAATAAGTAGAACCTTTATCAAGCACATCCCACGTTAGAGTAGTTTAAAAATAAAACTCCAATAAAACACCTATCTATCGTGGTTTTCACCCATCAATGATTGGGACTAAGGATGGGGTCAGGATCTTGCCCGTTAGCTGAGATCGCACCGTTAGCGACGGTCGCTGCTTCTGGTTGCGGAACCTCCTCCGGCTGCTGCTCCTCCTCCACCACTACCACCATTTCCAGCTCCACCGGGCGCCTGGTTCACCGTCTGCAGCTCATACTGATAGTAGCAGTCGCTGCCCACGTAGACGGTGCGCCAAACGCCGTCTACATCTCACATCTGGCGGTAAGGCGAATGCATCTTGAGCCACTGCAGGACCAGCGACGGACCGCCCGCCTGAATCTCTGGAGGAATTGTGCTTAGCGGGCACTTGTCAATGTTAAGATACTTGAGGTTTTGGCACAAGGCCAACTCAAATGGCAGCTTCTCCAAACCAGGATTCTGGTTGATGTACAGATTCTCCAGGCTCTCTAGCGAACCAATCTCCTCGGGCAGGAACTGCAGGTTATTCTCGCTAACAGACAGGTGAGTCAGGTTGCCCAGGTGGCCGATACTGCGCGGTAGCATGGTGATTTGATTGGTTTGCAGGATCAATCGCTGTAGCTCGTGCAGTAATCCAATTTCGTGTGGCAGGACCTCAATACGGTTCTCCTCCAAATCGAGAATCCTTAACCTTCTCAAATTTCCAATTGTATTTGGAATCTTTTTGAGCATATTGTTGGACAGGATGAGTATCTCAAGGTTTTGCAGGTTCATTATATCGTCGGGCAGTTTCTGAAGTGCATTGGTGGCCAGGTTCAGCTCCACCATGTTTACCCAAGTGCCTATATCCAATGGCAAAGCTGTCAGCATATTCTCCTTCATGTTCAGCTTTGTGAGACCCTTGGCTCTGGAAAAAATTCCATAAGGAATCTTATCGATCCGATTGTGTTCGAGGTTAATGCTATAGACATTGGTGAACTGGGCTGGACCGCCCGTTGGATAACTAGTGAACTGATTCCTTGAAAGAGTGATAGTAGTTAAGCCGCTCAAGCTGGCCAGCATACCGTCTGGTAGCTGAGTTATTCCGTTGCCTTCCACATTGAACTCATCCATGCTCTTGCAGTTCTTTAAAGTGGCCGGCACGCTACTTAAACGATTGTATCTCATGCCTAGACGCACCAAGGACTTAAGGTTTCCAATACTATCGGGGATGTCCAGCAGTTCATTATGCTGCAAGTCCAAAGCACTGAGGTTTACGCAGTTCCCAATGTCCTCGGGCAGGTGCTCCAGGTGATTGTGTGACACGTCCAGCGTGGTCAGGTTCACCAGTGCACCGATAGCGCTGCCCAACTCCCGGATCTTGTTCTCCCGCAAACTTAGCATGGTCAGGTTGACAAGCTGGCGGAGATCGTCCGCCACGGTGGTGATTCGATTGAAGCGCAGGTATAGAGTGGTCAAGCTGCGCAGTCGGTAGATGACTGGCGGAATCTCCGCCAACTTGTTATGTCGCAGATCAAGCACCTTTAGTTGGCTGCAGTTTTGCAGGGACTCTGGCAGAGATGTCAGCGAGTTCTCGTTCAGTGCTAGATTCCGCAGGCTCACTAGACAACCGATCTCCGCAGGAAGTTGGCCGATCTTGTTGCTGTACAGGTACAGCTCCGTCAAATGCACACACTCCTTCACCGTGCTAGGGAGCACTGTGATTGAGGATTTGCTCAGGTCCAAGCGTTTGATGCCTGCGGGAAACCATATAAAAACATTAAATATAAGATTCGTTCTGAATATTGCTTATAGATAAGAGGACTGAATATTTACTGATAATAACTATTTGATGGGAATACTTGCCTTCATCGCGGCATCGTTGCAGCGCCTTTATGACATCCTGATCCGCCTGAATGGGCTTGCTCTTCTTGGTGGTGGGCTTGGGCTTATTGGACTCCGGATGCTTGACGGTCACCATTTTGGGACGCGTTTCGGGCGGCTTGATTGCGTTATTTTCGTTGTGAAGCTGGCTATGACCGTTGCTGCCAGTGGGTTGTTGGCCTTGTTGGCTTGTGCTTGCTCCGTTTGCCGGGCTGGTTGCGTTGGGCAATTCCTCCGCTCCGGGGATTGCACCTGCTATGCCCGGTCCTCCAGCAAAACAGAGTGATGGGGCCTCGGAGGTTCCGTCACTAGACTTGCCGCCGCCGCCGCCGTTTCCGCTACCTGCGCCTCCTCCTCCTCCGCCGCCTTCAGCTCCTCCGCCCGGAACACCCCCGCTCCTCTCCGCTTGGCCCGTGGACGATAACGATGTGGTCGATGCCGTTGCGCCCGAAGAACACAAGTTCATAATTTTGCCCAGCTTTGCGGTCGGCGGCGACAATGCGTTGCCCAGAAGTGTGCCCAAGCAACAGCAGCAGCAGCCGCAGCCGGAGGAACTCGTTGCTCTACCCTATAATAAAAATCATATGATGAGAGTAACCGAAAACATGCAAGTGAAAAAAACTTGTAAATGAACACTTTAATCTTTGTATTTTTTTCCTGTGGACAATCGCAGAAAAAGGAAAGGCCGGGATAAAAACCCGCACTCGTTTATGGCTGCACTTTATCAATTGTGCGTCAGCCGGGCGGCAATCGCATCGTGCGTCATCGTCATGGTACGGCCACCCACCCATCCTCCTGCCCAACCCAAAACCCCATCTTTACCCCCTCCACCTTCAGCCCGGCTTTATTACTTTTGCTTTTGTTTGTCAGTCGCCGTCGCTCCTTATTAACCAGTTGACCATAAAGTTTTCAGAGACCCTACACGCAAATCAATAATTAAGCATTCTAACAGTGACGTCAAAATAAGACAAACAAGAATGTAATCGATGAAGTTTCTGACTATGAAATATCCCGAACGTATATGAGTTCATAATTATATAGGTTTATATTGCTATTTGTTTTTGAAAGTCAGTCCGATTAATGCTTTGATAAGACGCTTTAAAGCATAAACAAATCCATAACTTTTTTTGTTTTATAATTTGACTCATTCTAAAATAATTTTTTTTTTTTTTCAAATGTTGAGCAAGTTAATTTTTTAGAAAACATTTTTAGCTTTTTATATTACTGAACATACTTTAGCATGGCAAAAGTCTTGATTGGTAAGTTATCTTAAGATAATAACTATCCACGAAAGTTCTTATTTAAATATTAGAAAAATGTATGTCTGTATGCATAGATAAGATTAGATAAGCATCTCTTGCTAAACAAACATTAATTAAATTAAATTTCATTTTGTTCTAAGAAGACTCACACTGTTAAGCCTCTGTGATACTTTAAAAGCTGTCAATGCCGCGGGCCACGTGCTGGAATCGCATCCCCCGTCCCGCCACCCACCTAGCAGCAACCTTGCCACCCTCTTTTACATCCACCCACCACGTCACACACGGAATGCTCCTGGTATTTTAACGGCAAATGTCAAGGTCAGTGAGAGCGGGTGTCAGGCGATTCCTGGAAAAGCCAGAGCCAATGCCAAAGTCAAAGGTTGAAAGTGCACCGCAATGTGCCGTTACGAGATACTCATACTATACCAAAACCCTTGGAGTACCGGACGCAGTGTAACCCTAACTGGATTGTTATTCAAAGCGAAAATTTGGAGACACGCTTCTCGGATTTCACAGATTTAGCATATGAGAACAATGCACATTGAGACCAATTCTGAATGGTTGCTCAAGTGGAAGATACACTGTAGACATTCCGATTTAAGATGCGTAAAAATTCTAATATTCTATTGACTTATAAAAATTGTTAAAAGAATTTAACATATGTTATGGTCCCTAAAGAACATATATTTATTGTCAATTCACAAAGACAAGATCACAATGACTATATATGATAAAATATAAGTAATATCTCTTACTAAGGAATACATGAAAGTATCTTTATCTTTGGGAATAGATAAAAAATTATCGAAAAGACATAACAACGATATTAGCAGTTATGAAATGTTTATAGCTTAATACCCATTGAAAAGATATATATAGTTCTCTCTGTGTAGGGGATTTGATTCAAGCGATCTGCAAATGCCCGGGGAATTGTTCGTAGCTTATGATAAAAGACCCCATAATGATAGATAGATATAGAAGGCGACCCGGGGAGCTGACAGTCTGATTCATGGTAAATTTCCATTTCTTTGATTGCCATTGCACTGAGGCTCTATTGTTGTTATTGTTCTTGCTTTTCGCCTTGTTTGTGGGCGGGGAACCAAACATAAATCGGCACAAATACATATATTATATATGGACAAACACACACAGTAGCTAAGCGTAATGATAGCACAGGTTCTAGAACATACAACTTACTAGTTTCACTTAGTATGCCATTAAAACTGATTTCTTAGATCTCTTTGTTGATTTCTTCCGATCCGGAGAACAACTCACGCATTATTGTTATTATTCAATTTGCACACTAGAGGTGGAAGATACTCGATGTCTGTTTCATGCAATCGATGTTCCAGAAATCTGTTAGCATCGATATATTCACCGTAACCATCGATTACTGACTTGATCTAAAGTCCTGTTTACACTAGGTCAAGAAACACAGCTGCTGTTAGTTCTTTGAATTTTATGCGAATTCAATAAATCCGAAATTACATCTTGATTCTGGGTATATTTCTATAAAACATCTCTTATATAGTTGATAAATAGTTGATATTATTATTGTTTTTAGGTTAGTAACCAAAGACGTTAGAGGCACGTACGTCAAAAAAAATAATATATATGTCAAGGCATAACAAAAGTAGTTTGTTTAACAATATTTAAACGATCCTTTTGTAATCAACAAAACAAATGTCTGAACTAATTTTAAGCAGGGTTCTAGTTTTTTTAATGTCCTTATAGTTTAATGCAGGAAATAATATATTTACTCAAATAAAAACTTATGGGTGGTGATTCTTTTGTTATAAAAAAACATGAGTATTGATTAAATAAACACTAGCAAAATTTATCCATCTTAGGAAGCTTAAAAATATATAGAAAGCTTCAGCGAAGAGCTTTTAGTTTGGAGCTTTCATATGTTTTTGCCTCAATGTATACAATGTTAAGACATTTCACAAAAATCAGACTATAAATACAGATTTTTGTATAATAATCTTTACTTATTGTTGTTTTAAAGACAAATATGTATGATTTTTCTAATTTAAGAATTTATTATTTGCTTGATTTAACAATATATGCATATGACCATGCCATTTTTAAGGTCACTTTAGTAAACAACAAAGAATGCCAAAATGTATGCAACAAAATGTGGCCAACATACACACACACACTCATTTAAAATTAGCACACACATGGGCTTGTTATACATAATTTATGATACGCAATTTGCTGACATTGCAATGCATTCTCTCGCTTATCCAGCCAATAAGCAATAACTTCGGGATAAACAATAAACTAACCTGTTATTGAATTGCCAAGCGAGAAAACTTTTCAGCCTTCAGCGCTCAGGAATAACACTCGTATATATGTGAATTATATCCTTTGTGCTGCTACTGCCTGCCCAAACAATTTTACACTTGCGACTTCTTTGCTTTGACTTTTCTTTTTTCAACTTTTTTCTTCTTGGGGTAATCACTGACACAAAACGCGGGTTGCTTACTCTTTTATCACTACTATACTAAAATTTTTGCTGATTTATTTTTTCGGCTTAAAACATTAACAATGTCGTACAAAAAGGATGGATTTTCTGGGAAAATAACAGAGGAAAATTGGCGATTTTCGTTTGCGGAGGTGACGTGACGCGTGCCTAGAGAGTTGAGAGTTACACATAAATACAGCATTAGTGGCTGCTGGTATATATCCTGCCCGTTCGCATCCACACGCGGTTCCTTAGTTCTTACATCGCGTATACGACGCGTGCGCCGTATACAACTGGCTCCCTCTGGCGACACATTTCGTTACCTGACCGCTTACGAAAATAGACGCTAGATTTTCAGCCTTTGCAGCTCGTCATTGGTTATAAATTCGCAGGCTCTTTCTGCTACTATCCGATAATCTGAAATGAATAAGAAAAGGGGACCACTAAATGACTATTCAAAAATTGAGATCAATTAAATGTTATGTACGTTTATACAACTCAATCAAGTATTCCCTTTAAGAGTCGAAATATTTCTCCTTTGTCATAGCTTTGACAATCGATCAAAGTTACTTTTTAAAAGCAGTCTTTAATTATTATTATTAGTCTTATTATTTTTAATTCTGTGATCTTAGACTTACCCTTCTGATACTTGCAGTTGTACATTCTCATAACGCAACTGCTGGCGAAGCTGCGTAGACAACCATCTAGGACGTCTAGGGCACATACCACTCGGTAGCCCATAGGACACACATCATGGCACTTCTTGGGACCTAAAAATGGCAAAATATTTTACCCAAGCACCAAAAGACGCATTCTTTGACTTACCCGTCGAAGCAAAAAGCTGGCTCTGAACTGTGGTTAAGATCCCCAGAAGCACACAAATGAGAACTACTTTCTTGCCCAATATGCAGACAATTTGCATTTTTACTATCCAACCTTTTGCGCTGTTTGCCAATTTTGTATTAATATTTTATTCCACAAAAGTTTTCAGAGACTGTCAAAAAATATTATTTTGTATATGTCTTGTTGTCAATTGTGTCAATATTTATACATTTCTTAAAAATATCCAGCTGCTTCTCCTGCGCCTGGTAATTTTCCCCCTACCGTCTGCATTCTTCTGAGTTTCGTGTGCATCGGCCTGTTGTTTCTTTTTTCCATTCTGATGAAATAATTTTTAATTTTGAGTATATAATGTAAGTGAAAGTTCATTGAAATGTTCTTGTTTATATATCACCTTCACGTTGCTGGCAGGCATATAGATCCATTTCGCATGGATTTTTGTAGGTGCAGCGAATTTCCCTGCCATTCCTCACAGTCTTTCCGCAAAGGTAATCAATACCAATCCTTGAGCAATCATGGTTGCAGACCTGTGACTTCGATATTCCCAGAAAAGTCAACAGAACAATCAGTAGGATCAACTTCATTTTGCGGAGATGGCTATTTAACTGCTTCAGCTGGCACCTTAATTAAGTTTTATATATGATCAGATTTAGGCCAGCCAATGAACTCGATTCGATTTCCATATTGTCAGAATGAAACAAAAGTTTCTCGTATGGAACGCCGATCTGTATTCTTCTGCACGTGTAACTACGCCTTACACATATGTTCTTAACTATTGCAGTCTTGAGAAAATATTAAGTAATGAAAAATATAATAAAAGATATAGGAGGAATAAATTTAAACAATCGTAGAAAAAAGTCCACTTTTAGGCTTTTCAAAATATTATAATCTTTAAAAAAAATAAAAGGTGATGTTGAAATAAAGTCGTTGCCTATTTTACAGGTATACAAATATTTACTGCTTTTTAAAATATATTTATTTATCTTATTTAACAGGTGCTTACGTAAATAACATTTAAAATTGAAAAGGTTAAGAATCAACCACAGAATTTATTTTACTTAACTGGGTTCCAGAATTTCTCAAACATGTAAAATATCTGATGCGTAGAAAGTGTTATGTCTTCGGCTCGTGGGAACCAATCTCAACAAATTTCACAATAAAACCGTTTTAGTTAAGGAGAACTAAAGGTACCAGTAATAATAATGAAATATATCTGAGTGTTCCTTTAACAGATATCTGTTATATATAGGAGAGCTCAAAAATAAACCAGAATTGGTGTTTGAATAACTCATGATAAATATTATTAAAGGTTGTCAAAGAAGAATAATGTATATTAAGGTATTTCAAAGATCACAATTTCATCATTTTTTAAGGACATGGACCAATCGAGGGATCACCAATATGTGCTGAAATATACAAACATAATAATCAAAAATTATAATTAATGTAAAATACTATATATACCATCAGAATTTTTGCAGGCATAATGGTCCAAATGGCACCGATTAGGTAAGGTCATTTGACGATCCCTTCTAGCACCATTAATGTCCAAGTAAGCGAAAAAGGCACAAACTTGTGGTCCACCATTAGGGCATATACTTGGGCAATGGATCATGCACTTATCTTGAGTTATGGGAACAAGAGCTAAAAGGATTTCAAATTTATTAAACTCTTTCGTTTATTAAGACCCCATTAAATTCTTTTACTCACGTTGCAAGCACTGATTTTCCCGTTGACAGTTCAGGGATCCTAGTTGACATGAGTTTTGGAAAACTCGACAAACACCATTCGAAACTGTCCAGACAAGATTTCTGGCATAAGGATCACAGCGAAACTGTAAGTTGCAAGCTCCAGAACAATCTCTGATTTGAGCAATGTTCAGATTGGGGAGCCCACAAAACAGAGCCACGAAAAGTGAAAGCTTAAAAACATCCATTATTATAATAATTAATCCTCAGACAAGTGCCAGATTATATAGTCGGTGGCTTCAGATAATGAACTCCCAACTGAGAAATCAAGTTTTTGTGTAAACAGGTGTTGGCATTTAAATATTCTGTGAAATAAAAATATTTGTTAAGGGTAAACATTCTTAAATTGAAGTTCTGTAGTTATAGGTATCTGTATTTTTTTTTAATTATTAAAATGTTGTATGTTTTAATCTGATTTTATTGTAAGCATGGATCTATTACAATATTTTTATAATTATGATTCTGAGGTGCATGGTCCAATTTGAGGTTCGTTGACATAGGCTGCAAGCAAAAAATTAAAAATACATAATATTAACGTGAGAACTAAAATAAAGTTTATAATATAGACTCACCTTCAGCATTACGACATGCATAGAGATCAAGGAGGCAACGACTTCGGAAGGTTTTAAACCTACCACCGGTGTTTCCATTGCTGTCTGTATAGGGAAACCATCCGCACACTGGAGGTGCTCCTCGAGAACACATCCTTGGACAAGATTCCATACACTTCTCCCTAGTAGTGGCAACCATGGCTGGAAGGATCATATTATTATAATTCAAGTTTAAATAGTAGAATAACTTACGTGGCAGGCATTGATTCGCTCTCATGCAGTTTTCATTGCCGAAAATGCAACCGTTTTGAAAAACGCGACAAACCCGATCTACTACAGTCCAGACCAGATCCTTATAGTAGGGATTGCATCTAGCACGTAACATACACGTATTGGAACAATTTGTTGTCTGGGCTTCGTTTAGTTGAATAAATCCACCAAATAATACGAAAAATAACGAGAGCTTGACGTACATGTTGAAAATGAGGAATGCAGGTGACTGAATCGCTTTCCGCTGGACTCCTATATATTTATAAAGATTAACTCATCACGCACAGTTGTTTTGAACTCGATCTTTGACAATTATATTAATATATAAACAGCTGGGAGTTATTTGTTATGCGATCTGTTGTATTGAATAAAATACAACAAAAAAGTGAAAAAGTACGAAAAAATATATATAAAATTGCTGCAAATAAATAATAATAATAAAACTTAACTTGCGGCAGCGGCTCCTTGGAGAAATAACCATATTTTTACCACATTTTTTACTTAAAGACAAAAGAGTTTCTTTTGTTTCTTTTAATAATATTAGCAATGTTAAACTAAAAATCAAAAGAAATGCGAGCTGCATTGATAAGTTCTGTAAATTAAATAACTACTCTTAGTATTTTTATACGAGAATGATTTGTAAAACTAGAAAATTGCAATTTTCCACTGACTCAAATGGGTTTTGAAAGGCTTGACATCTATTGGTCATGTTTCTTGTACAAAATATAAATCAAAAGGTCCGAGAGAGCTCATCTTCTTTGATTGCCATAATCGTCTTTGGTTTTTGAAAGTCATTGCCTCTGCGGGTTTCCGGTTTTAGCTTTCAATTCGAAAGTAAAAACTACGCACGCGCAATTTTTCGCTTTCTGATTGACTTTGTCTCTTGAAGGTGTATTAATTCGGCCGAAAAAAAGAGTCCAGCAAGCAAATGTTTGAACCCCTTAAGTAATAAATCTTTGGCTCTGTCAGCTTGGCGACACCGCATGCGTATCTCGTTGGCCAACTTCAACGCCCACCCGTCGGCCAACTTCGTTTTGGCCTGGACCGGCCGAAAAGACATGACAGTCGACAGGTCGCAGCCAAGTGAATGGGAGCTCTGAGTGTTGGGAGCACCGAGCGACTGCCATTATTTTCGCCTCACTTTGGCACTGAGAAAGTTTTTTTTTATTTTGCAACATAAAAATTTAAAGGTGAAAAACAACAATTAATTAATATAATATTAGCTAATTAGAGTTTCTTAAATATTAGAAAAGTTCTTTATAATCAGTTTTTCATGTTTAGTTTTCAGTCTCCTTTTTTATTTAAAAAATTATTGTAATAACATGGCTTTTAAAACTACTTTTATTTTATTACAGTGTTCGAAGTTAGTGATTGCTTTTAGTAAGCCGTTACATTCACGGTATTAACTTTAATACAGATACTCGCCTTCGATTCTTAAACCCCGTCTTGAAGTCCACTTTGTAAGTGCGAAAAGTTTTCCGATTAAATAGCCGATATACACATCTACCAGGCTTAGCCCGGCATGGCTGATAGGAGTTATTGAATCCCTTCAAAATACGAATGTTTCTATCATTTTTAAGGCCATGTTTAAAGGCCACTTTGACGGGTTTTCCCGTTTTTTGATCCTTCAGAATAAATACAACATTGTGAGGCCTTCTTTCACCAGTTCTCTTGGGCAGCACGTAGTACTTGCTTTTTGGATATAAATATGGGTAGCATTTTTTACACGAACCTCTTCTCGAATTCGGTTTTGTTTTCATATGAATTTCTGGGCTTTCTTCGGATTCTTCCTTATCGAGATAATCACTAATGGATTGACCTAGTGTCAGATTCATGACCGCCAAGATCATCCACACCCACGCAGCAGGCATGACCGACTTTCAATTGGAGCTGCTTTGATCTCTTTAGGGAGTTCAAGTGGTGGCCGAAACGAATCGATTTGTGGTGGAAAATGATCGCTGTAAATTGAAATTCAAACATATAATTGTTAAACTGGCCAGCACGTTTTCCATTTGGACTTCACAACCATTTTAAGTGATCCAAGTCTGAGTGAAGGTTAAAGCGGTTAACCAGTTTTGCAATATGATCGGTGGGTGTGGAATATTTTTCGGACTTCATAGGCAATTGATCGATGATTCCCGAAAAAAAGCAGTTGAACTCTGTTCAATAAAAAAAACCTAAAGGCTATAAAATTTGAATGCCTTTTTAACAGCTGCATTTACTCAGAACCAGCTCATCTCTCGGCCTATAAAAGCTCAACGGGCTGTCACTAATCACTCAGAATAAATCTCACTTTTCGCCAAAAATGAAGTTGTTTATCGTGATTTTGTGTCTGTTTTTTGTGTCAGTTCAGATTAAGGCACAGACCAGGCAGGGTTGCCCTGATGTTTGTCCTGCCGTTTACCAACCGGTCTGCGGCGAAACTTTAATAAACGGAAAATTAGTGCGATGTGAATTTGGCAACAGTTGTAGAATGGGTATCAGCTCTTGTCGTCATAGAATAAGTAAGTCATATCTATATTATACCTTTTCAGGCACCTGTTCTTATAGAATTTCTATGACCTTACAGGTTGGTGCGACACGCCCTTGGAAAAATGTGTAGAAACTTCTCCCATATGCACTCAATTTCGCTGAACTAAAAATATAATTTCGCAAGTACACAAGTTTAATTTACTCACTCAGTTATGACGTTAATTTACTTACCAAATAGACGCCTTGCGGAAAATAAAATATGTTTTGGCCAAATTGTTGTTCTACATTGAAATGGATTTCTTATAAATATTTGTGTGGGTTTTAGGTTTTTAGTTGTTGTTAATATGTTCTTCTCAGTCAGTTTTAAGGTGGTAGGAAAAGTGTTAGTTTCACAAAAATCTGTGTTGTTTTTGTTTAATAGGTGGCTATATCCGGTATTAGCCAACTTATATTCCGAATAAACAAATTGTGATCTAATTTTAGGTCCAACTTCCATGTGATCTGCTCTTTATGAGTTGCTATTTACTTAATATCTAACGCTTTTTAAGGAAATTTAAACAATGTCACAGCTGTTTTCCCCAGTGACCTTGACTAACAAATTTCGGGGTAAGTTGAGTTCTATAAAACCCATAAAGCCTGTATTGCGAGGGTTAGTTACTTCTAAGCTTCCTAACCAGAAGTCTCAAAATGCGCTGCAGAGTTTTAGTTTTGTGTGCATTAATTTGCCTTTTTGTCATTTTGACAGAGGCTAGACAAAGGAGAGATAAAAACGTCAGATCAAGATCCTTGGCAGCTAGACACAACCAAAGGAATCTTCGTAGTAATGCCCGCCAAGGAAACAGACTGGCTGCCAGATCAAAGAATATCAAGAAACGAGGACTAAATGCTGCCAAGAAAAACAGAAGGAGAAGACGTAACCTGGCCAAGAAGACTGGTCGTAAGAATAAGACCAACGCTAAGACCAAAGCCAAGTCAAACGCAAGCAGTGGTTCTAGTTATGCCTATCTACCACTGGACTTCCAACAGAATTTCGTTAGAACAACCGACAATATACGAACTGAGAAGTCCTTCTTGGCCACTCGGTATGGTTTCAGTTTTGCCAAGACCACTGGATCTGAGAAACTTACAAATACGGCCAATATGGAATACACGTGTAAAATGAAAATTGGCGGCCAGAAGTTTACCGTACTGCCAGATACTGGCAGTTCAAATATCTGGGTGCCAGGACCACACTGCAAGAGCAAGGCCTGCAAGAACCATAATCGCTATCATCCGGCAAAGTCTAGTACATATGTGAAAAATGGAAAGGCCTTTGCCATTACCTATGGATCGGGTAGTGTGGCAGGAGTTCTGGCCAAGGATACAGTGAAAATAGCTGGTCTAACTGTTACCAATCAGACTTTTGCGATGACCACCAAGGAACCGGGAAAAACTTTTGTACAAGCTAACTTTGATGGTATTCTGGGTCTGGGCTATAGATCCATATCCGTGGATAATGTCAAGACCTTGGTGCAGAATATGTGCTCCGAGAAGGTGATCACCAGTTGTCAGTTCGCCATTTGCATGAAGGGCGGTGGCAGTTCCACGCGTGGTGGTGCCATCTTTTTCGGTAGCTCTAATACCAGTGCTTACAGTGGATCGAATAGCTATACCTACACTCCGGTGACCAAAAAAGGTTACTGGCAGTTTACTCTACAGGGTTTGTATGTGGGTAGTACTAAAGTAAGCGGTTCAGTGCAAGCTATTGTGGATTCTGGAACCTCCCTGATCACAGCTCCAGCAAGAATCTACAATAGTGTAACCAAGCTCATCGGTTGCACTAAAAACCTCTAGCGGAGAGTGCTGGATGAAGTGTTCTAAGAAAATATCCGACGTCACCTACGTCATCGGGGGCACGAAGATCGTTCTCAAGGGAAACAAGATGAAGTTGAAGGTGAAGACCAATAAGGGCAAGACAGTCTGCATATTGGCGATGGTGGAAGTGCGAGATGAACCAATGATCTTGGGTGATGCCTTCATAAGACATTCTTGCGTTGACTTCGACATGGCCAAAAATCGGATCGGTTTCGCTGCCACGACATATGCCACTTAGGTTTATATCTACTACTTTAAAATGTGTATTTAACAAAGTTGATCTTAGATAAAGAATCATTAAATTTAACTTAATATTTGGCAATTTTAAAAAAATTTGTAAAATATTAATTTTTTGAGATTCTTGAAATACAATTTTTGTCTTAAAATGTAAATCAAACTTGCTTTGTTTTAAGTTTAGTGTAAAATGTTTAAGCTTATACCGTTGATTCTTAGCAAAACAAATATATTTAAATTATAAATATTTAACAATGTATTGACTAAAAATATTTTGACCTACCTATTTGCCCTTTTAATTACCATAAACAGCTGCCAAAGTTACATGAGCACAATTTCTAAAGTAATGCAAGTATCGGAGAGGAACCTTGTTCAGTGCTCTAAGTAAACTCATTGACGATGCTTCGCGTTCTATTTTCTTTGCTCTTGGTTACTAGTTTAGTTTTTTCCACTAGAAAAGTACTAAAAGTACCTCTGTATGTCAGGAAAAAGTTCAATGGAAGTGAGCTCTTCTTCGGTAGAAATTCATCTAAAGGGAGCCCATTTAATCTGGCTCTGCAGACCCGCGATAATGTGGAATATTACGGAACCATTTCCATGGGGACTCCAAGGCAAAACTTCAGTGTGCTTTTTGACACAGGATCATCCAACACATGGTTACCCTCTGTCAACTGTCCATACAGTAATTTAGCTTGTCAGAGTCACCGGAGATATAACTCGTCTGGATCTAGTAGCTATGTTCCTGATGGACGTAACTTTACCCTGCGATATGGATCAGGAAAAGTACTTGGTTATCTATCACAGGACACACTGCACTTTGCTGGAGTAGACCTACCCGACCTCATCTTCGGCGAAAGCCTATTCCTTCAACAATTTGCCTTCAATTCAGTGATATTTGATGGACTTGTGGGTTTAGGGCTGGGTAGCTTAGCTTGGCCTAAGACCACACCATTTTTGGAACTCCTTTGCGGTAAACGCTTAATTGAGGAATGCATATTCTCCGTTTATCTCAGTCGACATCCAAAAGATATCCCTGGCGGTGAGATACTCTTCGGTGGCTATGACAAAACCAAATTTGAAGGAAAACTGCATTATGTGCCGATCAGCCAAATGAATACTTGGAAGATTGAAATAACCAAAACTTCTGTGGGAACTAAACAAATTGGAGCACAGAGTAGTGCTATATTGGACACGGGCACATCGCTGGTCCTCATGCCCCAAGAAACTTATGATAATCTGGTTAAAACCTTGTCGGTTGAACTGAAAAGTGGCTATTATGTGATGCCTTGTACGATTAGAACTCTGCCTGATATCAATATTCTAATCGGTGGCAAGGTATTTCCCCTGACACCAAGCGATTATCTCATTGAGTTGACATTGGATCTTAAAAAGGTCTGTGTGCTGGGCATTGCTCCCATTAGAAGACGCTTTTGGGTTCTGGGCGATATCTTTCTGGGTAGGTATTATACGGTTTATGATGCCACAGCTAAGAGAATTGGATTGGCTACACGGCAAAGCGAAGTCGTCAGTAAATAAATAAATACAGTGACCTAATTTTGAATTTGATATTGGTTAACTTCTATGCAGGAGAAAGTTAATAAAAGTTGAATGCCAAGACAAAAGTTTATTCCAAGCATTCTTATGTAGTTGATATTTAAGTCAAATGTACAAACTGTAATAAAAGTAATATTTTTTAACTAAAACTATTTATTTTAAATTATAAAAAGTATCATAACGGTCAGCATAATTTCTAATGATGGTATATCATTTCAGCAGAGAAGTTTCCAGCTTATGATTGTTTGCCCAAAAAGTATATCGGTATAAAAGTATAGACCACTGTTCGCACAATTTAATTTGGTAATTGGCAATTGCTTTGTTTATTCAATTAAATGCACTCGCCCTATTTATCTCTATTTACGCAAACATTGAAGTGCGTTCAACCACCACATTGCCAATTCCATTTGAATGCCAGACGAATTTGGCCATTAAAATGCTCCATTTGCAGGTGCTATAAAACAATCGCGGCCAGAATCTCTGGCAATTAGTCGGAAGGGAATTTACAAACGGTTCGGATCGGTACAATTTCGTTTGGTCAACTACGATGCACTGCCTCCATTGGCTATGGTTGTCCTTGTTGGTCTTGTGCCTGTTTTGGCCACAATCGCCAGGCCAACTGATACGCATTCCCATGCAATTTCAGGCCTCATTCATGGCCAGTCGTCGTCAACATCGTGCGGGTAGATCATCGCTTCTGGCCAAGTATAATGTGGTTGGTGGACAGGAGATTACGTCAAGGAATAGTGGAGCCACAGAAACATTGGATAACCGATTGAATCTGGAGTACGCTGGACCCATTAGCATTGGATCACCGGGTCAGCCCTTCAATATGCTTTTTGATACTGGTTCTGCCAATATATGGGTGCCAAGTGCGGATTGCTCTTCGAAGAACTTGGCCTGTCAGCATCATCATCGTTATAATTCTAGTGCCTCGAGTACTTTTGTCCCGGATGGTCGGAGATTTGCCATAGCCTATGGTACTGGCAGTCTATCGGGAAGATTGGCTCGGGATACGGTCACCATTGGCCAACTGGTGGTCCAGAATCAAACTTTTGGCATGGCAATGCATGAACCGGGCTCAACATTTGTGGATACCAATTTCGCGGGGATCGTAGGACTGGGCTTTCGAGCTATTGCCGAAGAGAAGATTAAGCCATTGTTTGAGAGTATGTGTGATCAGAACTTGGTTGATCAGTGTGTGTTCTCGTTCTATCTCAAACGTAATGGGAGTGAAAGAATGGGTGGTGAGCTCCTCTTCGGTGGTGTGGATGCCACAAAGTTCTCAGGATCCCTAACCTACGTACCACTCACTCATGCTGGCTATTGGCAGTTCCCATTGGATGGTATAGAAATGGGCGGTACACTAATCAGCCAGCATCGTCAGGCTATTGCTGATACTGGTACATCTCTCCTAGCAGCTCCTCCAAGGGAATACTTGATTATTAATACTCTTCTTGGTGGCTTGCCCACAACCAATAATGAATATCTTTTGAACTGCTCGGAGATTGATAAGTTACCCGAAATAGTGTTCATCATTGGAGGTAAAAGATTTGGCTTGCAGCCCCAGGATTATATAATGCGTGCAATGAATGACGATGGATCGGTGATATGTCTATCCGCTTTTACCCTAATGGAGGCGGAGTTCTGGATTCTGGGAGATGTCTTCATCGGTCGATATTATACTGCCTTCGATGTGGGCCATCGGAGGATTGGATTTGCTCCAGCAGCTTAGCCTAAACAGCACGTTTTGTACATAGTTTCGTTTCTATTTAGCAACAAACATCTGTTCTATTTAATGACACAACTTGGACATAAAACGTGGGGCTGGAGAGAAATCACGAGAGTTGGTTTAAGAGAGAGAACAAACTGAAACCCGTTTGTGGAAAAAAACAGCTGACCGACTCGCGTTCAGGTTCGGCGAGCCCATTGAATATATAATATATAGATTACCTAAGCTATTGCCTGGAGGAAAGGTATTTCTGCTTTTTTTTAATATAATTATATAATTTAATGTTTTTATGTGTACAATTATTTATAAATGTCTTTTTATAAAGTTATTTACTAGAAAAATTATTCAAATTTCAAATTTCAAATTTTAGTTTTTAAAGAGAATTGGGTTTTGATTTTATTATTTGTATTTGTTGGATGCGTGTTTTCTAGTATTGGGTATTCTTATGGCTATCATTTCAAATGTATCTCTTACGTGTAAATCACCTTCAACAATATTATGAAAAAGTCCCCCAACTAGCCAGTTTGTGACGTATAGCTTATTATTTGTTTTGATAAAAATCTCGCAGTCCCTAGAAACACTTCTCTACCTCCTAATATAAAAGAGCTATCAAGCTATGCAGCTGGTCAGTTAAAGAAATATATTCAAGATGAAATCTTTAGTATCTTTGGGTATGCTGTTGTGTTTGGCTTTAAGCCAAGTTAGTGCCAGTTGCCCGGAAACCTGTCCCGATACGGAGGATGTCGTTTGGGCTGTTGGGCCCTTTTGCAGTGTCTTCCGCAATCAATGCTACTTTGAACAGGCAAAGTGCAAAAATTCTGGTTCGTCTTATTTCAATCAAGTAATCCGAAGTATTTTAATTTATTTATTTAATAAATTTATACAGAGTTGACTGTTACAACACAGTTTGATTGCCAGCAGAATTGTGCGACTATTTGTGCAGCTGTTTACCAACCCACAAGTGGAATTTATAAGGGGCAGGTCAGAAACTTCAGCAATGAGTGCAATAAGCAAGCCCACAGCTGTTTGACAGGAGAAAGTAAGTGAAAATGAGGAATATTTACATTAAAAGATTTATTAATAAAGTTTAAAACTTTTCAGCTTTTGTTTAAGCCAAAATGAATAAATGTTGGAAATAATAAACTGTGGGCCTTACGAGTTCTAAAAACAATAACTTTTTCTTCTTAATGATAGTTTAAGACGTAAGCAACGAATCAGATTTTTTGCATAATAAAGTATATAAATATTTTCGAATGCCAGCCACTTTCCTAATAAATAAATAACTTACTAAAATATTACCGAAATATTCTAAAAATATTATGATAATATGAAAATATCATCATGATTGCTTCAAGGTTCAAGTGTGTTCAGGGAGAACCTTTGATCTCGATATTTTTCCCACATTTTTATAATAAAATCAAAACAAACATGTTTTGTCTTTACTTACCAGTGGAATTCGCAAGCGGGGATCCCCTCCTACGTGGTTTACTAAGAATTTATTATAGCGTTGACCATTAAAAAATGGGTGTGTGATAAGCACTTCGCCAACGTTTGTCTACCAACCCACAAATACTACTTATAGGTGCAAGGTCCAAGAAACTTAGTAATGAATGTGAGAAGCGTGGTCACAGTTGTCTCACTGAAGAGAGCTAGTATAACGAAGGCATTTATATTCACCTATAGCCTACTCGTATATTCATTTTACAGCATTTTAAGAAGCAAAAATATGTAAATCAAAGCTTAAAACGTGAATGAAAATAATTGTTTTAGAAGATTTTAATTAACAATTATAATTTTCGGTCTATTTAATGCGGGACAAGTGTTTGTGATGAGAAGTTTGGTAGAGTTGACTGTTGACTTCAGATACCCAATCTATTTGAGGGTATGCTTGATTTACGTTTATGCTTAAATACCTTTAAAACGATATATATTTTCTATATAATTTTGTTTTTGAAACAGATAAGTACGGAAAAATGGGAAATATACCTTGTACAGATTGGTTTCTAACGATTATAAAGAATAAAAGAGTAAATCACAGGCGACTTCTACCTGGTATATGATGTGCAAATTAGATAAACCGATAATACGGAAAAAATCCCCCACATCTGGTGAGCATGTGACGTTTTCGGTTTATAGAAATCTTTGCTGACGTGCCCTCTGGGTTACCGGTATATAAGATGAGCAAGTCGAACATCTGTTCAGTTAATCCGCAAACTCAACGGCAAACAGAAGATCTTCAATATGAAATCAATTCTCTCTATCAGCTTTCTTTTGGTTCTGGCTTTAAGCCAAGTTAGTGCAAATTGTTCTGGAGACTGTCCGGATACGGAAGATGTGGTTTGGGTTCTCGGCGGAGGCTGCAATGTTTTCCGCAATAAATGTTACTTTGACAAGGAGAACTGTCATCGCAAACCAGGTGAAAAATTGTCTATTTCTCTTTGAAAGTATATAATTTACTGTAAGTAATACCATTCCAGCCTTGACCATCACTACCAAGGAGGAGTGTCAGAAACATTGTGCCACTAATTGTATCCAAGTCTATTCACCGGTTGGTGGAACCTACAAAGGTCAGGTCCGTCACTTTGGAAATGAATGCGAAAAGCACGTTCATACGTGTCTAACTGGCGAAAGTAAGTGCTACTAAAAATGAGTAAACTTTTTATCTAATTATCTAAAATTTATTTTGAACAGCGTTTTTGGATTAGCTGAGAACAAGCTGCGAAACAACTCGAAAAACGCGACGTTAAATAAACTGATTTATCTATGAAACTTAATTTGTTTAATTGGTGATTTCCTTAAAAAAAAGCTAACTACGGGGTGTTTATTTAGTACCTATTAATGACGGAAAAAGTATTTGTGCTTTGCAAAAAGTATAACAGACATAGTTAAAGATATTCAATGAAATAATATATATATAATTATTATAGTTAACAATTTTTAATCTTTTTATATCCTATTTTAGTTCTTTAAGTTTGCATTGGTTCTTTTTGCGGCCATAAATATTGAAAAATATGAATGGGTATTTCATGGGCTATAATTTTCCATAGACTGGCTTTCTGTTTGTTAAATCGGGAGAATCAATAGAACAATAGCAAAAGCATCGACATCTGGCACACTGCCAATATTTGCTCTAACACCTAGGGAACCTTATATAAGCTCATCATATAGGAAAATGAAGTTAGTCTCATGTCAAAATCTGTTGTCAATACATCAAATTAGAGAAGAGTACCACCACTGCACCATGAAATCATATATTGAACTTTATATGCTTTTCTGCCTTGCGTTCGGTTATGCCAAAGCCGATTGTCCAGATACGGAAGATGTAGTATGGGCTCTGGGTGGCGGCTGTGTGGTGTTTCGCAATGAATGTTATTTGAACATGGCAAATATGGTCCGAAAACCCGGTATGTATCGTAAACTGATTAAGTTTTCGAACATTATTAATTAAAAGTATTAATTTTAAAGGCTACACTGTAACCACTAAGGAGGAGTGTCAAAAGCAATGCCCTCAGATCTGCCCTGCGATTTATAGCCCAACGACGGGCAATTATAATGGAACGATGCGGGAGTTTAGCAATGAATGTGTGAAACGAGCTCATACCTGTCGCACTGGCGAGAGTAAGTGCTATTAACAAAATTCATTTCCACAAAATCATAGAGTAATTTATTAATTGTTTACAGCTTTTGTGTAGAGTCACGCGAGTAACTAATAGATGGACATTAATAAAGCAATCTGTACACTATTAAAGCGGAATTAAAGAAACTGGATTTTTATGAAGATTTTATAGTGTGTTTATTTAGGGAGTAGTTTGTCTGCTGTAGGCTGAAGTTTAATATACCACCTAAGAAGCACTTTTTAACTTAAATTGTAACTTGCGAAATATATTAAGTGTAAATATTTTGATTTATTTCTTGTAAAGTTAGTAAGTGCCCGAATTATTTTTCAAAGTAAAAAGGGTAGAGATTTTCCTAATCGTCGTAAAGATCTCTGCGTAATTCAGACCAGTTTCAGCGGATTTTTTGTTTTTATATATCAGGTCATGCAAACAGCTTATGGTAAATATTATAAACAAAACAACTAAAACACTTGTTTAAATTATTTTTCAATGGCCATTTGTTTGAGAAAAACATATTTTAGGAATAGCAAATATTTAACAAACCGATGAATAATATTTAATATTTGAACAGTTAAGGTATAAAACTTACATTGTATATAAGTTGGAAATTTGGATGTAATCAAAACTGAGAAAGAAATAGTATTTGTTGTGCTAATGAAGAATACGACATGCCATTAAATCTCTGCTAGAACGCTTTGAGAATTATAGGAAAATTGTGTTGAAAAGGCAATTAAAAGATTACAATCCTAATGGCCAAGATAGCTGTGCATCTTCAGAGCAATAAAACCATAAATTAAAATAATCTTTCTTAAGTTAAGATAATGTTTTTATATTTTGGACATATACTAAGTAAATAACTTGTTTTTTGTAATCATTATGGGTTCAGCACACTCTGTTTGACTTACAGAACTGTTTAGATCTGAGATCTCTATGTACTCATGGGAATAACTGGATTAATGTAACACTCAGGTTGAACGTTCCTAGCCTGCATATACCATATAGCTTCTGATTTATGATTTGCGTTAGTATATTTATATTTTTTAATTAGCCGCTCACCAGCGATGCCATTGCAGTGCTTATCTTTTAATTAATTTCTAATTTAAATGGGGTTCTTATTAAGTTTAAACTTTTTGACTCTACTGCGTCTTGGGTATAAAACCGTAAAGATTCCCGGGAATTGGCATCAGTTGCTTCACGAGTTACGAAGCAAATAATTCTAAGTTAACGAAAGCTAAGATGGCCCTGCGTTTCGTTGCTGTGCTCAGCGCTTGGTTGGTCCTTGTCCAAGGATCTTTTCTTCAAGGATCTCTCAGTGGAGCCCATCAGTCGGACATTCTTGGGGCGGAAACTGAAGTTCCCCAGGAAGGATATTTGCCAGCTGAAGATGCTGAAGTTGAGACCCATTCCCTACACCATGGGCCATTGGATGCAGAAGTGGGACACGATGGACATGATTTCCAGTCTCAGTCCCATCACCACGAACATGGACCACATCATCATGTGGAATCGCATCATCATCTGTCTGAGTCCTATAACCATCATCACTCGTCAGAGTCTCACCATCTCATCCATGGTTCGCCCCACCACCTTCATCATCATCTGGAGGCACCTCATCATGGACACCATGGCTCGCATCATCATCTTCATCATCATTTAGAGGCTCCCCTACATGACCACCATGGTCATCATGAGCATCATGGACATCATGGACATCATGAACTTCATGGACATCATGAGCTTCATGGGCATCATGAACTTCATGGACATCATGGACATCATGAACACCATGGCGTTCACCATTTGCATCATCATCGGAACTGCCATGCCACTATCCACTGTCCCAGGACCCACAGTCCAACTCATGCCACCGATGGACATCTATGCTACACAGTGGAAAACTCCTGTGAATTGGCCATTTTGAACTGCCTGCGTCGCAATGAACTGAAGCCACGTTAGTCTTGATATTATACAAAATCTGAAGCATATCTTATATAATTTTTTCATTGCAGTTCTGAGGCACATCAGTCTCCACGAGTGCCACCATCTGCCTAGAGCTCACAGGAGTCACTAAATCTTTAATGTGAACTGAAAATACCTGAACCTCTGACCAAATTACTGCCTATCCTTATTTCATAATAAATAAATTTACCTCTCAAATAATGTTGCTGGTTTTTCTATTATTAATGAAACTTTTGGGATCAGTGTGGGTCATAAAAATATTTTAGAATTTATAACTGCACAAACAGTTTGCAAAATGTAGGTAACATTGTTTTTATTAGTCTAATGAAAAACCATTGAAATCACTTAAAGAAATTAAACATGTCTGAAAGTAATTTAAGGCAGGCTCTCAATTCCCCCTTTAAAATGGGGGTGCCCATTAATGGCGGCATGTCGACGAAAAAGGGTACCGCTACCGGAAGTGTTTGAACAGGAACCCACGATCTGAATTACAAAAACCAAACATATTCTAAATTTGTATCGTATTATCTATTAAATGAACTAAGGACATGAAAGTAATCAAAATTTAAAAAGTTATGAGGTTTTATAAAAATTTACATTTTCGCTTTTTTCCACTAATTTTTTATAATAAACAATTTGTAATATTTTTGGCTGAACGTAGTTTATTTATTAGAATAAACTTTAAGTAACATTTTAAAGAAAAAATTGGTGACGTTCAGTTCATTAAAGCGACTCCAATCACTTCCGTAAGGTCCGAAAACGTAGCTTAGCTCGGCCGGTGCTCGACGATGCAATATGTAAAGGCATGTAACTTTTGTAATTTTTTCAGATTTTGATCTTAAATTTTTCGAGAACATTTTTGAAACATGGCAAAAAAAAAATCGATTTCTTTTTTTCACAAGATGAAAGCCTGCCTTAAGTATTCTCCACATTCATATTCCTAATTAGTTTTCTTAATCAGAAGTAATAAAATTGAAATTTGAAACATTGTTAACGAATGAATATCGGATATGGAGGATAAATAATCAGTACAGTATTAATTATATACAATATATTATAAAAACTTCTTCTTGGGTTAAGTTTTTTTTTGTAGACGATAAAACAAGGATATTCATAAATATTACAGAACAGATTTATGAGAGATTTCGTTTTTTTTGCTTCATCTAAGATGAATAAGTATGAATGCTTTTAAGATATATTTAAAATTAGTTATATTTACAAAACCTTTTTAAAAATAATTCAAGATTTCAAATGTAGGTGTTTTAAAAATGAAGTATAATTCTTGAATAGCACTTTTAATTTGAACAAATTATAAAGTTCTTTTATGCAATCTATTTAAATAATTATTGAAGTGTTCGATAAAAATATCATTGCCCCATAATACTTGGTCTCTTTTTGATATAAAAAATGGGTGTAAGGTTTACTGGGAAATTACCTCTTCTTTGATATCGCAACATCTTAGCTGAACATGTTTTTAATATCATTCTTATTGGACAGCAAATGACCTCAAAGAAATTACCCAATAAATGTGGGGAATTTGATATTTTCGCAATCTTAGCTTTACGAACATTTTCAATCTTAGTAATGGAAAAGTTGAAAGTGCTTGTAATTGCAATAAACTGGGTCAAATTTTAATTTGGTTTAGAATAAGTGACATCACACGCTTACAGTAATTACTTTAGAATGATGGATTACATATTTTAGAAATTCAGACAATGTATGGAATTTTGAAGTATAAAAGGCCTGATGCAACAGCGAAAGGTATCAGTGTTTCACTAACAATCATCACAAACAACCAAATCAAAATGGCAGCCCGCTTCATTGTTGTCTTCAGCGCCTTCTTCGTCCTGGCCCAAGGTTCCAGTCTTCTGTCTTTGGAACAGGAATCCGAAGTGGCTATCCATGCTGGAGTCGTTGCAGCTGGAGCTCCGGTGTCCGTTGTTTCTAAGGGATATGCATCTGTTCCTCGCCCTGCTGGTCCTGCCTACGGCCATGGTTCTGTCCCAGTTCCAGTCTCCGTTGGAGTAGCTCATCGCGGTAGCGGATTGGGATTGGCTGCTCCTCGTGCCTATGCTGCTGCTCCTCGTCCAGCTGTGGCCTACGCTCGCCCTGCCGCTGTGGCCGTTCCTGCTGTGGTTGTTGCCCCTGTGGCTCCCATTCGCCAGCCTCATGGAGTTGCTGTCCCAGCTGTTGTGGCAGTTGGTCATGGAAATGTCCACGGTCGCCACCACGGTTAAGAATCCTTCAACAACGCCTCCCCAACAGATTTGGAAACCCGTTTGACTTCAATTTACCATCTTTATTCAAGCAATAGAACTTTAGAACAATATTGAAAATAAAATATTTTGAATCAAATTCTTCAGTCTTTACTTTTTGAAAAGGTCTTTAATATGGAAAAATAAAAGTTGTGATATTTTTTTCAAATCTCAAATATTGATAATGTGTTGATCTTCTTCTGTTTGTGCTATCAACAAAAAACAAATCAAAATAAACCTAAAAAATTTAATTTTTAATTTAATACACTTTTTTCTGTGTAGATTTTCTTCTATGTTTTATGGGCCGTTTAGGTCAATATTTTGAGAGCTTTGTTTTGCTGCATGCAACATTTGCCGTGTGTCTTTTCTTGCGGTACATTAATTTTTTCTTCGATCTTAGTTTTAAAGTGTCACTTTGCAGCTAGTTTGGTTTCGCCACGTTGTTTATTTTCTTGGGTGTGTAACTTTGGCGAGTGTTCATTTTGACGCGATTCATTTTGTCACGAGTCGGATTTTTTCGTGCGCCTTGGCTAATGCGTAAATTTGCGACGCGTGCCTTGCCAGCAAAACTTTTGAGTTCACAGAACTTCAGTTGACCTGTCAGCGAGTAGAAAGTATTTGCAATGTTGATGAGTCAGAATGAGACCAATCTTATTACAGACTCGTTTATGGTATTAATTACATAAAAATATTAAATTTATTTCTTGCTTGCTCTGATTTTGAGCAGGTATATAAGTTTTTTCTAACCAAAAGAAATTATCAGTTCCCCCAGGAGCAATACCATATCAATATTGAAATGGCTCAAGGATCGATCCTTTCGCCAGTAGAGCAGGAGACTCTTGTGGGAGTCCATCACTCTGGAGTAGTCTCAGCTGGATCTCCAGTTGTAGGTGTTTCCCGTGGCCAAGGCCCTGCTCCTCAGCCTCAACGTTCCGCCTTGGGTCATGGTTCGGTTGGAGGATCGCGTCGAGTCGGCGGAGCGGGATTGGTTGGAGCTCGTCCTCATGGTGGTGCATCTCGTCGCCGGGCTGGTGGATCCCAGAATCGTCCTTCTGGTGGAGTCCACGGAAATGCTCACCAGAATCGCAATCGCATCCAGAAGCCGCATTAGAGAAACTTTTAAGTGCAAACTCTACAGAAGAGGACAACTTTATTGGGAGACCGTTTTTTCTTTCTTTGTCTATGTATAATTCTATAAATTATTTTTACCTACTCAACTTTTGCAAATAATAAAAATTGTTACAAAAATACTGTGTTCCCCTTTTTAAGTATTAGAGATACTTGAAAGGTTAATCCAACTAAGGGGCTTGGCTTCGGACTTTAACATCATGAAAGTACAAATGGCTTAAAACCGGGCGTTGCGCATGATTGCAAATGCGCCTTAGTACGTTAGAAACAAAGCCCTAGAAGATGACCTCGACATTCCCTCTATTAGGAAACAGATAAACAGGCACTCGAGTCGATACAACGATCGTCTCACAGCTCACACCAGCCACTTAGCTTCTTCGCTGGCTAACGCAACTATCAGAAGACGTCTAAAGCGAAGGCATCCAGCCGATCTCTGGACAAGAGGACGCCAAATTTCTCGAGTCCTAAAGCAATAATCTAGCATTAGTATTATTAGTATTAGTATTTAGCATTGATCTCTAGTTATAAAAATTTGTTATATTTGTTCATTGTGTTATTTGTTCAATGTTGTTCTCATAGTATTATAGCCATTAAGTTGGCTGATTGACGTTTAATAAATGTATTTATTGTTATACCAAAAAGAAAAAAATTGAAAGGTTAGTTTTCTTATTTCAAACTTATTTATTTTATTTATATTTTATTATCAAATCTAAGTTTTGTCTTGGTTTGAACACTTAAGAGCATTTGGTAAAGCCTTTTAGTTTATAATTTTGGAGTATTCTAAGAAATATATGACACTTTTAATAAAAAATAAATAAAAACTTAAATGAAGTAGAGATAGAGCCATGCATTGTTGGAAAAGAGGCAATCTTTTTTACATAAGATTTTATATCTTGTTATGAGAATGAATTAGTGTTGTTATAAGGCTGTTTACCTGTAAGTTTTTTTTTTCATTTTCTATTAACATTTTAATTATTAGCGGACAATGCTTATTTCTTAACTAGTAACCATATTATCACACCTTCAGATATGTTTGTTCTTCAGTAAAAAAATATGACTGCCAAAAGACATACCATATTTATAGACTATTTGACAAAACTGTAACTTTTTACAATGTTAATATAATATGAAAGAAATGGAAAGAAATATCTCTATAAAATTAAAATAATTATTAACTTTTGTAATGTAAACAATTATTTCGTAAGGCAAAAGTCGAAAAGTGAACTCCAGTTGACCTCTGAAAGAGTTCAGAGGCGAATGTTCTTTGAAATTTAAAACAAGTTTTGTGAAACACGAGCCTGCACTCTAATTACAGTTATTACGCTTAACAATTTTTAAAGTGTTTTGGAATTTTGTGTTTAGATTAAGCTTTTTAAGTGATCGGTTTCGACTATAAAAGCTTTCATTTTCCAAGTGGAAAGCATCAGTTACACCTGAAGCATTCATCCCAAACAACCAAAGCAAAATGGCATCCCGCTTCATTGTCGTCTTCAGCGCCATCATCGTCCTGGCCCAAGGATCGAATATTATTCCCATCGAGGAGGAGGCCGAGGTGGCAGTCCACTCTGGAGCTCCGGTTGCCGTCGGCTCCCAAGGACACCCATCTGTATACCAGCCTTCCCGTCCGATCTACAGCCATGGCCCAATTGCTGCTCCCCTTGGAGGATCTCATCGTGTGATCGGTTCAGGACTGGCTGCTCCTCTTCATTCGGCTCCTCTTCACTCGGCTCCTGTTGTGGTTCGCCCGGCCACTGTTGTCGTTCCTGCTCCTCAAGTGGTGGTTTCCTCTCCTAAAGTGGTGGTGCCTGCTCCACGAGTGGTGGTAGCCCCAGCTCTGCCCCTCCGCCATTCTCATGGACTGCCAGCCCATGGATTGCCTGGCCATGGACTGGCTGCTCATGGACTGCCTGCTCATGGAGTGGCAGCTCCAGTCGTTGTTGCCTCTGGACACGGCAATGTTCACCAGATCCGTCATCATGGCCAGAAACCCTACTAGGACATACAACACGAACCCTTGTAATGAAGACAATGTAACCAGAAATTCCACCCATCCTATCCCAAACATATTTTGAAACCTCAATGTATCAAACAGCAATAGCAATGGAAATAAAAAAATGTACACCAAAAAACTGTTTAACCATTTATTTACTGACAATGAAATAAGATCTAGGTCTATGCATATGAAACTGAGTTTTACTTCATCTGCCGACCATTAAAATTTTTCCCATGGCTTCGAGGCGTCTTCCAACGGTGCTCTGCAATTCAGTGTCCTGAAACTTTTTGGTTGTCTTCCACGCTTTTAACCAGGCTTGGAAACTTCTATTGCTTAGGGCATGCACACCGTAAGCTTCCACAAGCATTGTTTGGGGATCCACAGCAGTTTCCTTTTAAAGAAATCAGAAAAGCAACGATGTCCGCGAATCGTGGTTTGTGGGTATAAAACTCGATATTTTCAATATTAGAAAAAAAAATGGCTATTGGAAAAAAACTCGCAAATAACGTTTGAGCAGTGTTGCAAGATGTCATAAGATGCTAAAAAAAATTTACCAAAAATTTGTCGATCACTATTGTTACCGATAACTAACAATGAAGTAAAACGCAGTTTCGTATGCATAGACCTTGTAATTTTAATGTGTTTATAAATATTAAATATTAATACTTTTTTAAGGTAAGTTATTAAAAATGTTATTTATATAGGAAGAGAAAAATCATTAATAAATTAATTATGCAATATTTACTATAAGAAGATAGAATTCTTAGTGGTAATAAGAAGAAAGATATCAAATGGTTAAGAAGTATTATTTCAAAACCTCTTACAGATTTTGAATAATTTTTATATTAATTATAATTATTTTGAATAAGATTAAAACTTTTTTTTATCAGCAAACTATTATTATCATTACCTTATTAGTTCTAAACAAATGTAATTACAAATTTAATCTTTGCGATTTAAAGTGATGTCATACATTAAGTTAAGATCGGAGTAGTTATTTGAGAAAAGTGGATCAGAGAGGAAACTCCAGATAAATTTGATTTAGTGCCTTTTCATGCCATGATTACACTTTAGGTAATTACATCGGAATTATCCAATGTAATTCTTTATTTTTTGCTAAGCTTATCTACAATATCTAAACTTTATCGCGTATAAAAAAGAAGGCGTTTTATAAAAGTACAATCAGTTGCCTTGAAAACATCTTTAAAAAAGTTCTTTACCAAAATAAAAAAGTGCAAGTATGGCAATCCGAATCGTTATTGTGGTCAGTGTCCTGATTGTCCTGGTCAGAGGATCCCATATATCACCAGTGGAACCACAATTATCAGTGGAAATCCGTTCTGCCGGAGATGTTACATCCGGAGCTGCAATCACTTTCCCCGAAACACGACCATCCCCAGGGTCTCAGAGTCAATCATCAAGTTCTCGTTCGAATGCTCCTCGTTCCGGGGGAGCCTCTCGCTCTGTGGGAGGTTCCCGTCCAGCGGCTTCCCGACTAGTCGCTGCTGGTGCTTCACGTCGACAGGGTGGATCTCGTCCTTCTGTTGTTATTAGCGGTGGACGTCCCATTGGCGGAGGATCTGGTCGTAATCGCATCCAAAAACCTTTCTAAATGAACTCCGCGAAATAAACTTTTCCTGACAACTACAAAATTCTTAAAAATAATAAAAACCTTTTTGAAATAAAACTTAAAAGCAAAATAAATAAAGCTTGCATTTTATATATAAGGTTCTGTGGTTAACAAGGGTATTTAAAAAGAGAACAAACTTATTTAATTACAAAACGGAATGTAATTACGCCCCGATTTAGTTATTAATTTAATCCATTTTTTGGCAGATAATACAAAGTGCAATGTTTTCGGATGGCAAACACTTAAAATTGCTTTTTAAGCAAATTTAAATTCTGATAAGGGACATAAATAAATTAAGATAAATTAGGATAAGAAAACATTCATTTGCTTACATTCTGTCTAGTGAACTTTTTTATAAAAGTTAAATAGAAAAATGTACTTAAAATTAATGAAAGGGGATGTTCGAGTATTTTGATGTTAAATATCAAAGTTTCAGTATATTGACAACTTTAAAATGGCTTAAATATATGTATTTTAACTCGCATTAAGTTTTGGCTGTCTTTGCTGGCAATTCACTTTTAGCCAACTATTACAGAAATGTTTAAACCATGAAGTGCACTCGAACGGGTGCTTAACCTGTCGTTATTGGTATAATTGGCACATTAAGCAGTTCATCAAAGGTGCGATTGCTGTTAAAGCTTAAGTACTTGCTAAGCATTTGATTAGTTTTTAATTTTATCCCAATGCTGCATATTATGCCCGCCACAATATAACGAAATAATACTCATGATAAATGTTTTTTATAACAATTGTTATTATTTGCAGCAGAAAAATATGGGGAAAATATTGGAGGATGCGATGGAAATGTCTAAGTTATAGATATAGATATTGTTTTGGTCGTTTGCTGATGGTGTTGATGGCTTCCTTAATAGGGTTTCTGGTTGCGATTGCGACCCTGGTGTGCGTTTCCATGGGCAGATGCACCTCCAAGTGGACGACCATGAGCTCCAGCAGAAGGACGACGGACGGCACCACCATGGGAACGGGGACCGGCAACTCCAGCTCCGCTCACTCGTCGTGCTCCTCCAACTGGACCACCGAGGGATCCATGACCAGCGCCGGGGCGTTGAGCCTGAGGACGATGAGGCTGGGCACCACCAACAGGTGCTCCTGCTGAAAGCACTCCAGAGTGATGGACTCCAACAACAGCTTCATGATTCACGGAGGACAAATAAGATCCTTGGGCCAGGACAACCAGGGCACTGATCACGAAAATATAACGGAAGGCCATTTTTCTTTGTGGATTTGAATTTGTGATAAGGTGCTGGATTGTTGATTGGGAAACAACTGATGCTTGGCTCCTGGAAAGGGAATACTTTTATAGCTGGAACTTAAAGTGCTCACAAATGGAAAACGAACTTAAACTTATTTCAATTTAAATCCAACAAATAACAACATAATCTTGATAACAGCAAATGACGTAATCAATTTACTTAACTCAGATTTTATCTAAGGTTCCCCCCATGATCCAGTTTTCATAATTTCGGTATTTAGCAGTTAATGAATTAATGAGTTAAGTAGTTCAGCAACCTGTGTAAATTACATTTCAAATTAAAAATATACAAAACAAAGTGCTAACTGAAGTTACAAGCTCGTATTTCAGCACACATTTTGAAAGTAAACCAAGTATTCATAAAACCAAAGCAAACAACTATAGATTATTTTTTACTGGTACTGAAATATTTTCATGCTTTTTCGGACAACTCCTAAGGCCATTTATGCATAATACATGAATGTCGGGCTAACACAGAAGCCTCCTTTTCATACAATTATGGCTTAACTAACATTACTCGCAGCCGAAAGCTTAATTGGCATATAGAAGACTTGATTAAGCTGGCCATTAGCCAGGCCAAAACGAGACACCCATCATTGGCTTGGCCAGGAAGTGGAGCATTTGCGAAAACAGTTTTTAAAAATATATGCTATATAGGTAACCTTGCCTTATATAGCTCAGGGTCTATTTATTATCCATAACAATGAAAGCAAATTAGGCTTATGATTGTCTAAGAAATGGCCAACCCAATTGAGCTTTGATAGGTGGGCAATAATAATGAAAAAATTGCTAAAAAAAATGAAATGTCATGGTGGCAACATTTAATGAAATTACGTAAAAATGTGAATGAGTTTATCATTCGGCGATTTCTACAATTTAGAAAGTAAAACCAAAGTGTGTGAACCAATTTGAGTGTCTCGTTCATATGAAGACAAGTGTACTTTTAAAAAATTATACATTAAATGTTTAAAGAAACAAAAACTTTGATTAGGTTTCTATTTGTTCTTCGTTCGGGGACTTAATTTGCAACTAAATCAAACTCTACTCCCATGCAATCATGACTCATTCGCACCGTTGTCGCCAGCTGTGCGATCTGGGTGTTAACACTTTTTATTTATTTATTTTTCGTTTGTCAAACTGACATGCAAGCGTTGCGGGTTTCCAGTTACTCGTTTTAATTTTAATTACATTTTTCGTATACAATTAGCTAACAAATCAATGAGAAACCGTTAGAAAAAAAACAAAAACAAAAACAGTAACAAAAATAGAAACACAGATAAATTGTATATCAACAATTGCTCAATCGATCCGATCAAATAACAAATAACTTTGTGCCGAATATTGACATTTCGTAAGCATTTGAAAAGTGAACGCGACAACAAGAAACCTAAATGCAGTGCGTTGGTAAAAATCTTGAACACGTTAAGAATGCTGGCAAGGTTGTCTGCCACGGCAGCTGCTCTGTCTTGTGGGCCTCCATCTCCGTCTAAACTCGATCCTCCGCGTCTGCGTCTCAATCCGAGAGTCTAACTTAATTAAATTGGATTTTATGTGCCGGATTGGATCGGCCATTTGGGGCCTCACCGACGACCATGGCGACCATGACGAGGTGAGGCTAATCAAATGGCCAAATTGTAGGCGCGTTTACTTACCATTCAGTTAACCAAGCAACCAACCAACCAACCAACGAACCACCAATCAGCCAGAGTAATGAGCTTTTTGTCGGCTACACGACTCTATTATGATGAACATGGCAATCGTCCAGCGATAAATATCAATTAAGACACCGTCAAATAGCTCAATGGCTCAATGGCAGCAAGAAAAATGGTAAACTAATACCGCAGACATGCTAATGTTTTGCTCTACCTTGGGGCTGTGCGTAAACAAAAATGTCACACGCCATTAAAAATTAATAGCATGTTTAAAAAGCAAAAACCGAAGTAATACAAAAAAAAATAATAATCAACCAAGATTAAGTAGAGAAAAAGGAGTCAGCCAGACTGGAGGCAGTCAAACCGGGTCGATAATACAAAATTTCGGCATTTAATGCTCATACGACAACGTCAACCCCCCCCTGTACAAAAATTGACTTAAATAAAAGAACAAAAACGTGGCACGAACAACTTTTCAAAAAATGCGTGGTACATTGTTAATACTGATCTTGTTTTTTTTTTTGTGTTTTTCTTGGCTGCTGCTCCGGTCCAAAAATGTTGCACAATATTCGTGCGTTCATGCAAAGCAATTGTCAAATGCAACAAAGAGCCCAAAGCCAAAGGCCACAAAATCGATACGGACTCGAAGCCAAAATTTACCACTGAGAAACTCCATTCTGCGGTGCATTTGGCGAAATTAATATCAATTGCCCGGCATTTTGACGTTTTCTGGTTTACGTTTATTATTATTATTATTAGACTCCTTTGCATTACTTTATTGTAACTCCCTCTGAGTTTTGACTTATGATGAAGGCTTTGCCCGATTTGTATGTGCGGTTTGACAAATTAAATTAATTGGCTCGTACTGATATGCCACAGATTCGACGAACTGCCGAAGGTGCAGCTCTGCTTGGCAAATTGAATAAGTACGTGTAGAAAAAGTAACGACTGCAGATTGAGATTTTATTTTACATGGGCATTGAAGATCGCAGATATCGTCGTGGGAGTTGTTTTGTGGGACTGAGCCGTCACTAAATAATTACCAACTCTTTGGCTGTTGGAAGTGAAATGGGTTTTTAGTGTGGGCGCGTATTTACTTGTGCCGAGTTTAACAGTTTTAAAACCAGATAGTAGTTGGTAATTAAAATGTTATTTCTTGTTGAGTGCTTTTTAACATTTTTAAATGTAATTTCTTTTAATGATTTTATTGATCCGTTAAATTAACTTTAACATTTAGACTTTTGATTATTGATTCCTGGAATCGATCTCGTTTCAATATCTACAAAATAATAAACAAGATATATACCCCCAATTGTGATTACAAATCATGGGCTTAACAGCCTTTTTCTAAAAGCTGCCCAGCCACATAAATGTGATTATAATGTAATACAATACAAACCTTGAACTTTTGGTACTTTTTTCTTAGTATTGCCATCGGCCATAAATTGTATTTTGCATTTAAATTTCTCAAGTAATTTATTTTCTTACCAATGCCAATTTAAAATGTCATACAATAGACTGGAAGTCAGTTGACTTAGGAAGGCAAATTTGCTCGAAATTTAATTATGAATATAAAAATGTCTTAATATTATTTTGATCTATTAATACTAATAATATTAATAAGAAATTGACCTTTTTGTAAAATTTATTATTTCACAGAAACAAATTTAGCAGCTCAAAAAATTATTTACAAAAAGCCAACACTAACATCTAAAATAATGATGTGCTTCTTTAATATTTATCACATTAAAAATTCTTTTTAATAAAAAGAATACCTTTTTACTTAGATAAGGTATCACCGAAATCGAAAGACTTAAGACACGAACTGCACACTACAAAACTCACCACACAAGCACTCTTTTCACCTCACAACAATCCACACGCAGCCTAGCTCGGTTCCACTCAAGCGTTCACTCAAAAAACGAGTCGATCTTGGGGCGTCTGTATATATTTGCTGTGTGTTTTTTACCGCTGCTGCCGCCGGCACTTGGCAGCTGATAACCGAAGTCCGCTCTGACTGCTATCGCTGCGCCACAGACGCCGACGTCGACGGCGGCGAGCCGGCTCCGTTTGTTAGCTTCTTTTTTTTTGGCTTTTCTGTGGCAGCATCGGCTGGCGGAGCTCAGTTAATTGTTGGACACACTCCGTGGCGGTTGTGCAGGCGGAAGAAAAAAAAAAAAAAATCGACGGGGCTCTTTCGTTTTACTGAGCGAGTGAGTGAGTGTGCAGGAAACAAAGTGCATTGGAAAAGAAGTAAAAATTAGTGACAAAAGGGTGAAACCCGATAGTAAAAGTTAACCGCTGACGCGACAAGTGCTCGATAATTGTTAAGAATTCTCGCACCAAACGAAAGACTCAGGCAACGAACTCTTCGCGTCCGTTATTAATTGAGGCCAACTAAGCGTGGGTCATCGTCTGCCATAATTGGATTAATTCACAGCTCTTGGGGCTTTAAGTATTCGCTAACCAAATACAAGCAAAAGCCTACAAAAATATATATCTAAGCTAACGCATTTAGAGAAGTCATTAACAACGACGGCCAACGGCCAAGTGGCAACGTGCAACGTCAACAAAATGATCTTAAGGTATGTACGCTGGCTATTTTTTAATGAGCCGCACTCACTTAGTTTTTGGTACACATTTTTCTAGTTAATTTCCTGTGTGTGGCAAGTTAGCGTGCTGGGCGTCTCGGAAATGTCTAGACTAGAAGTAAAGCGACTGGTTCTAGCCATATTCCTGTTCATTTTTATGTAATTTTTACGTGTCAGCCGCTGGCTTATGACAACTTTCTGTAAACATTTCTCCAACATACTTGTTCTGTTCTTTCTGTTTTGTTTTATTATCTGTGTATGTGTTAGCTGGAAAGTTCTGAGTCGTTGGCACAGAAAGTTTTCGTTTGGTATGTTCGGCATTCTGGTGATTTTCGACGAGTGATTAAACGGCATTGCGCCATATATGTGTTTTGATTATTTCATTTATATTCAGGCCAACCACTACGTCGAGTTGGTTAGCTCTTCTTTTTTTTTTTTGCCTTGTCTAACAACTTCCCATGCTAATGGCTTCCTGCCACTTTCTATCTGGCCATCCACGAGCCATTCCCAGCTCGTAATGATGAACAAATCAGCGCCTGGAGCAACGGAATTAATGAGCGTATAGGTCACGCTCTTGGCCATCTCAGCTTCCGACGAAAACTTCAAAATCACACCTCCGATGCGGGCTTAAAATAGAGCTCAGCGGGAGTTTTTGGTTTCAATTTAAATAGCAATTAACTGTAAGATAAGATTTTAGCGCCAGCTAAAATAGTTT